AATTTTTTATCCGACAATATTGATCGGCGTCGATAAAATTGCAATACCTATATTCTCTGTTCAAATCGTAACTTAGTGCGATCACTGCCATTTGGGGTACGAGGGAGGGGGGGGGACTCCCATAACGGAAGTGACATATCCCTTAAAAACTTCAGATGTTATTCTGAAATTTTTTTAACTCTGATCGAGGACTAAATTATTCTGATATTTTTGGCACCGAACTCATAATCGTGAATTAATTTACCAACGGGTCTGAAGACGCAAACCAAACAGTATTGTGGGCAAGTATCCCGTTGGGACACTATATTATTCTCGGGATTCCGGGAATTGGGAAGTTGCGCTATTTTGCGAGACATCGATTTTTCAGTGGCGTCTTCTCTTACGGCCTGTGAGTCAGATATTGCGTCAGCAGAATGCGTTTACACATCCCATTCCTCTAGAGCTCGTAGCAGGCTTGCGGATTGCACCTGATGGCGACGCGTCATGCTACACTGCAGGGACGCTTAAGGATGACGCAATCGTCGTTCCTGAAGAATCACGAGCTTAAACTGCCCCTTACCACCGATTTTTAGTGAATACAACTTTGCCGGCAATAAGGGTTGTGAAGCGATGACTTAGCGCACCCCTGATAACTGTTGGTGCTTTTTTTTATTTTAGCACCCTCATCCTGGAGTCCTAGTAAGAGGAGGACCTAGGCTCTAGGAAAAGTCGACAAATGCACAGATTAAATTAGAAGTTTCAAAGTCGAAAAATGCATACCTCAGTTTAAGACGTTCAAAGTTCCCGCTCATATTTTATTTTATTTTTTTGTACAGATAAACTAATTAACAGTCTACATTGAAATTATCTTCGATTTTTTTCGTTCATTCTGAAAAAATCAAACCGAATTCTAAAGATACATTTTGATTAGTTCCCTTTAAGGAAATAAAACAGCATCATTTTTTATCTTTTTTTTATTTTTTTCAAAATTAAAAAACAACGAGTGGACCGATAAGGAGTTTTTTGGAAATATTTCTCTAAATTTCCTTTGCTTCTAATGAATCATATTCACAAAACGTTTCTGGGATGTACTTCATAGGTACTTCGGTTTAAAAAAATGAAACATATTTAAATTTGAGTTTTTTCAAAGTTTAAGTATTCAACGCATTTTTCGACTTGAGCCACTAGAATATTACTTGCCTTGGGAAAATTCTGCCTTTACGGCGCAGGATGTACGCACACTGTACCCACCCACCCCTTCCAACTTGGCAGTTTTTATATTTTTTTACGATTTAACTTTGAATAAAATCACTTCCGAGTCCCTCAATTTTTCTGAACTCAATAACTTTTAATTGTTTATGACCCCCTGCTCTATTATTTCGCAACACTTGTAACTCGCTGCCCTTGCTGGCTCTAACAGTTCCTATAAGTCACGGCATACTTGCACGAATAGTCCAGGCGCCTGGTAAGTCTACCTGGAATTTTGGGTACACAGCGATTTTTTTGGCCTACTTTATGTTTTTTGGGTCGCTGAATCCGAATCTGAAGTTTCCGCACGCGTATCTGGTGAGAATTTTCCGCTATTTTGAAAAAATGGCCTAAAAAGGCCTTTTTTTGCGGTTTTTTTGATATAGCGGCTACGGATGAAGAAAAGTCCCGGATTTAGCTAATGTTTTGAATAGCTGACATAATTTGGAAGAAAATGATGTATACATATGTTAGGTTTGCTTAAAAATTGAGGAAGATACAGCATCGTGAACATCGCGCCTATTCACGTTTTCGCGGCGCACCCGTCAACGCGCGATCCGGCTCGCCGCGGTCAGCCAAGTTCCGAAGCGTTCTAAAGTTCCAAAATCCGAGGTTCCTCAATTTTTGAGCAAACCTAGCATATTCATATACCATTTTCTTCCAAATTTTGTCAGCTATTCAAAACATTAGCTAAATCCGGGACTTTTCCTTATCCGTAGCCGCTATATCAAAAAAACCGCAAAAAAAGGCCTTTTTAGGCCATTTTTTCAAAATAGCGGAAAATGCTCACCAGATACGCGTGCGGAAACTTCAGATTCGGATTCAGCGACCCAAAAAACATAAAGTAAGCCAAAAAAATCGCTGTGTACCCAAAATTCCAGGTAGCCTCATTTTTAGCTACCAGGCGCCTGGACTAGAACGTTGTGGAACTTTACTTATTCGGACACACAACCAATTTTGTATGTATGCGCAATTAACTCACAATCAGTCGGGAATCTGCATACACATAGCATTATACAATTTATTTTTTTGGAACTGCACTAAAACGTTCGATTGTTGAATAGGTCTTTCCGAAAAGTTTAGGAAAAATTATCGTCTTTACGTTTGATGGTCCATCAAACGTAAAGACATGAAAGTGCGTCCAAAAATGTCTAAAAACCGGAGCTGTCCTCTAAAACTGAAAAGAGATGCATTTGTGAAATACCATGAGCGGTGTTGTTTGACAGATAACACCTACGTCTTTCTCGGTGTACCTACTATCATGAAGTGACATTAGTAGAATGATATCACGTTTTTACTCAGCTTATCTTCAGCTCACACGTCGAAAAGATATAATTTTTTCCCACTCGGAGAGACCTACCCAAGAAATCCAAGGTCCCTCTCAGCTTTGCGCCAAAATTTACCTACACTTTTTTAGTCACCCTAAGTCTCTATAATTAATTGGCATCTCCCCGTAAATTTTCATTGAAACGAGCGACGAGCGAAGCAATTAATACTTTTTTCGCAGATAGGTTTACCAACTTCAATTGAACCATTAGGTGTTAACTTATGGAAAACCTCTGCGCTATACGCCCCATATCCATACATAGTCGTTTCCGAGACAAAAAACTATTTTTTAAGAGCCGTAAAATTTTCTCTCGTAAATTATAGGTATCTTCGTGAGAGGCCAGCTGAGCGTCTCCAACCGAAAATGTCACTAATATTTCTTCAAGTTACACGAAAATATCAGCAAAATTTTGGACACAAATTTCAAAGTCGTGTTTTTTTTCAATAGTTTTAACTTACTTCCAATTTAAATTACTCGTAAATTTTGTAACCATCGAGTAAAGTTACGTTTCTTCGCCTTGGAAAAGACGGCATAGATGGGTTTTAGGCGTTGGATGGTCAGAGCGCAGAGTACCGTCGAAGATCTTGACACCTCACCCTTGTTTAGTACAGAGCTTGCGGGACCACCAATGCGTGGTCTTGAGCGGGAACCCGCGGGCTTGGTTTTTGAACCGGTTGCTGCATTCTTGGATTGGGCTCAGAAGGGAACCCATTTGGAACGTGCAGGACGGCTCGCGCGACGCTGTGCGGACGTGCGTGCGTCCGTGGGAGGTAAGGTAACCGTGCCGCGCGGTGCTGCCGCAGCACCACAGAACTATCGCGGTGCAATGGGTCTCTTGCATGCAAGAGATACAGGAATCTGACAATGAGTGGTCTTGCAAGCACGAAAATCACTTTGAGCGCATTAGACATAGAGAAAAAAAGGAGGTGTTTGCATTTCGGGCATCTTGGAATTTTTTGATGACGTGATGACGTGGGTGGGTACAGCGACGTTTTTATCCTTGTCGATTTTCTTGGAAATGGTGTTATTTAAGGAAAAAAGTCATTCTATAAAAAGTGCTTGAAATTATATAATGAGTTGATTTAAGTGAAAAAATCGGACATTATGGTCAGTTTTTCATATTTAGCTAAACGTCGCTGTACCCACCTACGTCATCAAGTCATCAAAAAATTCCAAGATGCCCGAAATGCAAACACCTCCTTTTTTTTCTCTATGCGCATTAGAAAATGTAATATACTTTACGACGCGTAATTTGCGTAGTCCGCCATGCGCATTTTCAAATTTACATCCCCGCGCGCGGGAATCTTTTTCACGATCATCGGCAATCAGGTTTAAGGCCATGGTTGCAATCAGGTTTCAGTTTGTCATGTTCGTAGTGATCAGGTTTACACGGAAATTAGTGAGCAAACCCAACTTAAAAAAAAAAAAAAAAAAAAAATCTTGCAAAATTATATTAATCGTGATCAGGCACAAATTCAATCGATTAAAAGAAATAAAAAAAAAAAAAAAATGAATTTGCCTAACTATCTTGAATATTTATGGAGGAAAGGGATCGTGAGAAATAGCCAGAGTCCTCACTTTGGTAACGACGCTGGTATGTTGGCGTGTACATTGATAGTTCGGGGTTGAAGTCTCGCAAAAATGCAGTGAGCGTTTTCCGACGCATGGGATCTGTTTTTGCCTAATCGCTTAAATGAAGGCGAAACACACAACGCTGCACATGCACGGATCAAGAATCAAAATTTTCTTCAAAATTCCCAAGAATTCTTGAATTTCCTGAAACAAGTTTCTGACGAATTTCGGCAAAATTTCTGACTACTCCCCCATCTTTAAAAAGGGGGATTCGACTCATTTTTCCTTTTTTTTTGGGGGGGGGGGGGCGAACTTGGCATATAATGCGTCCTCTCTCAAAACGAAACAAATTCTCTGAATTTCAGGATTAACAAAAAAAAAAACCCCGAAATCTCTGACTTTTCTGAATCGTCCCTGATTTTCGCAACCCTGAGGCTTTTGGTGACGATGAGCCGTCGCTCCCTTACATTACATCACCATCTCCTGACCACAAAACGTGGCAAAATCAACAAGTTTGATATTGATTTTTTTTCGAATGCGACCACTGCGCGGAACAGCCTTGAAATCCTTGACTTTTCCAAATCGCCTCTGATTTTCGCAACCCTACGGCTTTTGGTGACGATGACCCGTCGCTCCCTTACATTACATCACCATCTCCCAACCACAAAACGTGGCAAAATCAACAAGTTTGATATTGATTTTTTCCGAATGCGACCACTGCGCGGAACAACCCCATCGGATTTGGGCAGCAGGAGCGGCGGTGGCGGCGTCGGTTGACCCCCCGTCGGGGGTCCGGGGTCACCTTGAAAGAGGGATCTGGGATATCTCAACGTGATGTAAGAGCCGCGATCACTTTCGTTCGTTCATCCTGCTCCCTGTCCGTCGCGCCGCGCCGAGCGTCGTCAGTTTCGCCGCTGCAGTCGTCTACTCTCATCGTCACGAACCCCGCTCGCTCGCCGTCGCCGTTCATTCAACTGGTAGAGTCATCGTCCGCGTTTTCGGACCAGCTGTTCCCATTTCCCACCGTTGTTGTTGTTGTTGTTGCGGTTCCTCCAGTGAAGTGTGTAAGTGTTGCGGATTGTTTAAGAAAAATTTGGTATTTTTTCGGGAGTTTTTTGGGGGGAGTTTTGGTGTGTGACGCTCCTCAGGCGCTGACGAACTGATTTTCATCAACTGGTATCTGAACTATTGGAGTCTTTTATTTTAATTCTTTTTTTTAAATCGTGCTGGTGTTTTTAACCTCATTCCGATCATAAAAATATCTTTATTTCTTTTTTCCGCTGTGTGAAATTTTTAAAATTATTTTTTTTTCTGTTTTTTGTAAAAAAATAATTTTTCCGTTTTTCGGTAAAAAATTGTTTCTCCTTATTTGGTTAAAAAAGCCTTGATTTTTTCCTTTTTTGGTGAAACAATTTTTTTTCAATTTTTTAATTTTTTTAAAAAAATTTACCTATTATTTATCTATTTTCTACTTTTATTATTTGTATTCTTCTAGTTTTTCGTTAACGTTTTATTTTATTTTTCCTATTTTTTTATTTTATTTTCCCTTTTTGTACTTTGTTTTCACATTTTTTACCGTTTTCTAAGTGGCTGTTTAGCCACAAGGCGGAATGAGGCCAATCAACCTACACATATCAACAACAATCCTTTTATTTTTTCCATTTTGGGGAGGAAGCAATACACTGTAATTGCCTACATTATCATAATATGTTGTAAAAACATTCCCATTTCTCAACAATAATCAGGAATCCCATACTCATGTTCAAAAGGAAAACTTGATAGACACTGATCTTCATTCTTTTCATGGAGCTCCTAATTTTCCATGAAAACTATCTGGAATCTTTTAAGACATTAGATTGAATTTTTCCTCAAGAGGATTATGGAGCTGATACACATTCTGAGATTTATTATTCAGAAGTAATATTTTTTCCCTTCTTTTTATTTTTTTTCAATTTTCCTCCAGATGTTAAGAGACTTGTTGAAAACGTTTATTACAGTGCTCAAAAAGTAAGCTGTATTTATATCATCAACATTCCTGTAACTTAAAAGCTCCTTTCTTTAAATATCTTACTACGGAAGATTCATAAAAGTATCAATTTCTCTAAAATTATCAGTTTGGTTCATGTTTAATTTATGTTTCCCTATCAACTACAATGAACACTCTCACAAGGCAGACTAGTTTAAAAAAAAATTACAAGATAAGAGATACGATGCATTTTTATCTCCCTAATTAAAGGGAAAAAAAGCTAGGTATGTTTTTACATACCTTACTTTCCTTTTACTGCACCTCCTCATACAAACAATTCAAGCTATTGACACATTTTCTCAATGCCTCTAACAAATCTGAGGAAGAGATTCTTTTTAACAAAATTCAAGTCGTAAAAGTTTCATAATGCTAACTTTGCAGGCATTGAATTCATTATCATGAATTGCACTATTCTCATGTGTCAACGATTTTTAATCAGTAGATTGAGAGAGTGGAGACCTCAATTAGTGTCAGCATAATTAAAGTTGTACAAACATACCAAGGAATTTACGACCAAAATCTCCTCCTCTCACCCAAAGTCTGTGGTCTATAATGCCTACGAAAAATAAATGAGGTCTGTGCCTTTCAAAAGAATTTGTTGGTTCCTGTGGTTTCGATATAAGAGAAAAAGTTAAAACACGATCATCTCCGATTTATTTTTGGTTTTTGGGACCTTCAGATTGAAAACTATTAGCAGTTTGTTGCACTGTTGAGATTTGTCACAGTACTGCCATCCAAAACAAGAAGGCAGAACTCCATTCTAGAGTCTTTTAATTTTTTTCTTCCACTACATTCTAGTCCACAAGATGCAGTCTAACAATCTTTCATCCATTATATTTTTATAAAAACCCTGCCATACCATTAGGAACTCAAGCTGGAGAAGTAAAGTATGATGGTGATGGAATTTTTCTTTTCAATGGAGCATTTTGTCTGACAGAAATATGTGAAACCTGGAATGGAGATGTACTGCTCTTGTTTTGAACGACAGCTTGTTCCAATGTCGCTGATAAAATTGTGATTGAAAAAATAAACTTAAGGGCTTAAAAGAAGTTCTTAAAATAGAAACATAAAAGAAATTTGTCTCTCTTCTGAAGACGACTCTGCCTCACCACGGAGCTATCAATTAATGAACCTCATAGACAAAAAAAAGGAGGTGTTTCCATTTAGGGCATCTTAGACTTTTTTTGATGACGTAGGTCCATACGGCGACTTTTATCATTGATTTTCTTGGAAATGGTTTATTTTATGGAAAAAATGCATTTTACACCAAATTCTGAAATTTTATCATGAGTTGATTTAAGCAATAAAATAGGATGTTGTGGTCCGTTTTTCGTATTTCAAATTCCGGATTTTGCTGACCAGGTTGCACCGACCAAAGTCACAGGGTACAAAATCCTCAAGACGCAAACACCTCCTTTTCTTTCTCTATGAATGGACCCACTGATGAAAACTGATTATAGGTGATTTGTTTTCAGAAGTTCAATAACCCACCGGAGAAATGACTACCAACGGAGTTCCGGGCTTAACTTTGGGCAATGGATGCTCAGAGAATGGAATTGCCCGAGAAACACAAGGTGCTCTCTTTAAGCATGTTGCAGCACAAGCTGAGTCTTCAGGCAACAAAGTCACAATTGTTGGTGTAGGTCAGGTCGGCATGGCCTGTGCCTTCACCATCCTCACGCAGGTAAATTTCACCCTCCCTCAAAATCTATTACATGATTTTAAAATTTCTAGCAAAGATTACTTGCCTCTAAATTTAAAAGTATACAACCAGTCAATACTGGTCATTCCTAGTCACCATTTCAAAACGATAACTTCATTAAGACACCTATCATAGATAGTTAATAAGCTCTCAAAAAGTATGGGTCTCTAGAAATCTTTAAAATAAGTTGGTGATCATTGAAAGCTAAAGAAGTTAAATAATCTAAAAATGATTTTAACCGTTAAATTTTTTACGTGTAAAATTTCAAGAGGATCCTGCGACTATAAAATTTATCTTGACTATGTTTCAGTCTGTTTCCCATGACATTGCTTTAATTGATTCAAATGAGCAGAAACTTCAAGGAGAAATGATGGACCTCCAACACGGCTCCGTTTTTGTGAAAAGTCCAAAGATACAAGCTAGTACAGGTATATAATTATGTCTGATCAAAATTTAATCATGCATAAATTAGAGGAGGAGCAAATAATTTCAGAGAAAAAAAAATGATAAACGATTTCAACTCTCCTATCCCCCTCTTCCTGAAATTGCATTTTTTCAGTCTTTTTTTGGTGCCTTTGATTGTCCCATTTTATTGATACCCAACGCAGGTCCTTGTTACAAATAGTTGGATAGTCGGGCATTACTGTTACAGAAAATGAGATGAGGCATTTTGCTTGAAAGATGCAATGCTTTAATAAACAAAATTAAAAAATACAAACTTAAATGAAATGCTGTAAAAATATTATATAATTGGACTATATTACCTATCTCTTGCACAGGAACTTAGGGGAGATCGTGAACAGTTTTGTCGACCAATTTTTAAATTACACACATGGTGACATATTCTTATTCAAAATTGTAAAGATTGTATGCCTTAAATGCACTTAAAAAAATGAAAGAAAATATAATTGACTTTAATTGTACCTTAAATTCTAGATTATTCCGTGACGGCTAACTCAAGAGTATGCATCGTCACCGCTGGAGCTCGTCAAAAGGAGGGTGAGACTCGATTGGATCTGGTACAGCGCAACACTGACATTTTTAAGAGCATCATTCCGCAACTTGTCAAATACAGCCCAAATACCATTCTGATCATTGTCAGCAATCCAGGTAACCATCAGCTACGTCTCATCTGTGAACAAAAATTTCAAAACAGAATAATAACAAAAGAAAACATTCTTCAATACCAAGTTTTCTGAATCGTTGGAGAATTCTATCCGTATGGAAAATTTTAAAGAGGAAAGAAGATTAGAGGACACTTAAATAATTTCAGGGGGCCAGAAAGTTCTTAGCCTTCCCATTTTTTGAACTGGCATTCCCATTTAAAAACCCTTCTCTACCACAAATTTCGTAGATTCTCATTCAGTATTTGTCTTTTTGATTGTTTGAAGTTGACATTCTGACATATGTTGCTTGGAAAATCAGTGGTCTTCCCCGAAACCGAGTAATTGGCTCTGGCACAAATCTTGATTCGGCAAGATTCCGTTTCTTAATATCTCAGAAACTCAACGTTGCTGCTAGGAGTTGCCATGGTTGGATTGTCGGAGAACATGGAGATACAAGCAGTAAGTAGAGATATCATCTAAGATTGTTCCTACTTTTAGTGTCCTGATAGTGTTTACCACATGATTTTTTACTTTCACTTGCTGTTCACTATAAGTTGATGCCACTTCTTGGTATTAAAGCAATTACCAAAGCTATTGAAACAGTGCCCTGCACCCAGTGCAATATATTGATCTTGCATTCAGTATTTTTTTACATGGTTTCAAGCAAAGTTTTCATGGCTCATTGATTTTTTAGGTGTTTTAAAATTTAAAGTAGGTAATTTTTGATAAAAAATTGTAAACGACATCTTTTTTAAATAGATATGATGTTTCATTTGATTCTTTGATTAATTCTTCGTTTATTTTCTGCAGTTCCTGTTTGGTCAAGTGTGAATGTCGCAGGAGTCAGACTCATGGATTTGAACCCTGACTTTGGGAAAGACAATGACAAAGAAAAATGGGCGTCACTCCACAAGCAAGTTGTTGATAGGTAAGACATGGATTTTTAAATTCTCGTTTCCTGGATAGAATTTTGCCACACAGAGACAACTTTAATTTCTTCTAAATGCACATTGATGAATATTTTTCCTACTTGAAATATGAGGCAGAATATTATTCGTTGATGCCATACACTCCAAGTTCACACTGGACTTGCAACTTGACATTTGATGTTTTTAAGAAAGAAAATTGACAACTTGCCATCAATAATGGGTAGAAAGCAAACAATTTGGTTTCGAGACATTCACAGTTTTAATTCTGCAATTGCCAAGGAAATTGCCCCTAATGCTATCTTTCAGACATTATACGCCCCACTTCAGTGTTGGTGGCACTTAACCTGTTATGCATCGAGTCCTTGATGTTAAGAGCAAAATGCCACGTCTAACTCAATTTCCAATCTTTTGAAACACAGACTGTCATTTATGATAAACCTTCAATTCAAGACCAAATTGTTTGCTTTGACTTTTTTGATGCACATTTTGCAGTGAGGAAATTTTAATTATGTTGTAGCATAACTTTATATAGGAAAAATATCCAGAATTTTGAGTGTGACTAAGTTCTATCACGTGCACAGAGACCCTGAAGTCCAAAAAACTACATATTTAAAGGTGACAGTACTTAAATCACTAGAAAATGTGGTCGAGAAAAATCACACAATTCCTTTACAAAGCATTTCAGGAAGTCCAATGTATCTTCTTCATTTATAATAAAAGTATCAGTGTTGTTGAAGCTAAATTCAATAAGAGTACAGATAGATGGTGAGACGACAATAACGTTTATCTTGGTTTGTGACGCTGCAGACTTTCTGTCGTAACTAATTTTTCAACTACAAACAAACACAGCGGAATTTTTTAAACTTTCCTCATTTTTCCTCTCTGCATAGAGAATATTCTATGAAAATTTCAAACATTAGCGTTCCTTCTCCTTTAATGAAATAAAACGGGAGTGAAGATTTTGGAACACAGCAAACGAACTACATATTTTTACAGTTTCACTGTTGATAGGTAGAGGAAAGAGTTGAGATTATGTAGGATTGCGATTCAATTAAAAGTTGAACCATTTTTGTTTGAAAATGTTTCAGCGCATATGAAGTGATAAAATTAAAAGGATACACATCGTGGGCTATTGGTTTAAGCGTTTCAATGATCGTCTCCGCGATCACCAAGAATCTCAACACCTTACATGCACTTTCTACTTTGGTTCAGGTAAGCAATATATACTATCACACATTGACTCAATTTTCTTTTGATAAATGCAATCATGGAATACTTGAAATTTAGGCTCCTCTTTATGAGTTTAATGTTAGCCTGTCTTCTAGAATTAATGAAAATTTTTAGTAAAAATTGATGAAACAATTTTTTTGATTGGCTTTTATCTTGGATTTTTTTTTGATGCATCAAAAAGCTAAGTTTCAATAGAGTAGCTGCATTAATTTCATCACTTTATCAAGATATATTCACATTTCTCAGGAAAATATCATAAATGCTGGGGATTCTGATTTAAAACCTCGAAAAAGAGGTGTGGATAATTTCTAAGGGTTCGAAGTTACTGGTCTTGGCATAGTTAAAAACTGATTCTTGATGCGGCACGGTCAAAATAAATCGTGAGTCAATGGGTTCAACTCAGATTAAATACTACAAATGATTTAATCCTTAACAACCATATCTGTCAAATAGCTGACTAATTATACTAAATTTTGTTTTAACAGGGTCTACATGGTGTGGATGAGGAAGTCTTTTTATCAGTACCTTGCGTTATTGGAGAGAACGGCATTACAAGCATCGTTAAACAAATTCTTACAAAAGAAGAACAAGAGAAATTGCAGAAATCTGCTAAATTAATGCATGGCATTCAAGCTGATCTTAAATTTTGAAGGCATTATGTAAAATCTCAGTACTTAAAAATCAAAGCTTGTTTGTGTCACTGACTAAGAATTAGGAATTAACAACAAGCGTGAAACTATTTTCACTAACAAGGAACTGTTTCTGTATTAACTAAGATGGCCGATATGCAAATCTTGATGTGCGTTAAAGAAATTCACCTAGGTATGCTGAGAGAGAGTGCTTAAAAGCATTTAGAGACTTGAGATAGATTTGAATACAAGACATAATCATGCAGAAAATGTCTCCAACTATTGAAAGTTTGATCTCAAAATGATGTTCCTATTATAAAATGAGGAGAAATCAGAAAGCAACTTTCAAAATGAAAGTACGTACATCAAATACATTTTTAACCTCATAGCGCTCCCAATATGTATAATTATCTTGTGCGAAATGGGTTAATAAAACTTCCTTCCACAGGGAAATAATATTCTTCCATTCAGGATTTCTCTTGTTTAGTTAACAATTACTTAAACCCATAACAACACTTTTTATACTGTATTTCCTCAATCACAGTTGTCGATTTACTGGATCAATACAGATAAGTTTTAGAAAGAAAAGACTTCAGCATAATTAAAGACACACTCAGAAGAGATTCTAGGGTACAAAACTCTTTGGCAAGAAAAGGAAAAAAACAGTATTGTTAAAAATATATGTATGATTTTATGTGTTTCTTTATTTTTCATTTTCTTAGCTACGTGCTATGTTTTCAAAGTGCACAATGCTTGTGTAATGTGTATTACTCCCAATTATGTATAACTTTTTCTTTTTTCTTTTTTTCACTTTATTAAATTATTTTATGCTGATAAGTATTCTATAAATATACTGTTTAATTATTTGATTCAACAGCTAAATACAGTGGAAATTGGATAGAATGACTTTCTGGGGGCTACTTTAATTTGGTCGTAATGTCCGATTGTCATTATAACCAATGCATAAATATCGAACCCATGAGATTTCAACCGAGGGCTGAGAGGGCTGACCAAAATGACCAATAAGTTGTTATTTTTTGCGATATTTGATTTCTGCTGTATGTAGCCCCACCTCACAAACTAATCTAAATAATAGTACATTGAAAAAAGAGGAAGGGGAGGGAGAAAAGCTTCTTCATGATCATTCTTAGAATCTAAAACTCTGAAATGAAAGGCACAACCTTAAAAAACAATTTCTCAAAGTCACTTAAAAAAGAAAATAATTTAACAATTCTGGGGGTCAGCAATTATTCAAACACACATACTTGCCGAATGATGAGATGAAAAATTTGCAGACCTCCAGCCTTTTTGTATATTTCTCTTTCAACCTGCAACAAGTGATTTGAAAATTACGATCCTTAAAGATGAATGAGGTATCTTCCTTTATGCTAAAGCTCATGAAAGAGTTAGAAGCTACTTTTTTGAGTGAGGAAGCTCAGAAGAACGCCTTGCTTTATCTATTAACTGTTGAATTTTGCTGCTAACACGCGAAAAAAGCATTCTGGTATAATATATTTGTAAGATGATGCTTCAGCAGTCAAAATCTTTCATGCTCAAAAAGTGTATCGATGGTGAAACAATGAAATCGCAAATCTTGTTTATGGTGTTGCAAAATCTCTACTCCCAATGAAAATCAAAATTGGACCAAACAACACTGTTGCTCTACATTTCCACAGAATATTTTTCTCAAGGAGAATACTGCAGGAAATCTGCAGTGTCGTAAAACGAGATTCACGTTTACAGTTTCACCAACAATATTTTACTAAAAAGCTTGAGAGTATTCTTTGAGAGATAATTAAATCATAGGAATTGAACTACTTCAAAGGGAGCAAAATGAGAGAAATATTTAGGGTCAAACAAAAAGTTGTGGTCAGGCTTGAAATTAATGCACAAAACTGACATATTTACAACAAATAAAATAAGTCCGATTAAAATGAAAAGGCACAACACAGAATCTGCAGGTTACATATTGTAAAAGATCTGGGAGAATTAAGCACCAGCGTTTCTGAATGTTTCATGACATCACACAAAATCTGGGAGGCGTGACCAAACTATCAAAGAAATCTTCAGAAAGTAATGTTCCTTCTTCACTGATATGGAGATAAGAAAGTTGAACATCTATAAAAATGATGTAAGTGTTGAATTCTGTGCAAGCAATGAGAGAATAATAGAGACTTGAACAGAGAGAGACAATTGCACATTGATATAGCACACTAGTAGCACCTGACAAAAATTTACCAAAATTTTTATTTTCTTTATTTCAATTGTGGAAAAAAGAGGGTAAATAATAACTGATCGCAGATTTCAATTTTATTTTCCAAATGATAAGAGCTCAAAAAATTAAAAAATAAAGTTGGCTAAGGTTAGTTGTTTAAACCATACCTTTCAAGCTGTTCTGCCTTTAATAATTTCTGAGAAAAAAATACAGAGCTTTAATTTTGGAAGAATTTTGTCACTCATTATTTAAAAAGAAGCTAGGATTCAACATTACGGGTATCTAGTTAATGATTCTCCTTCATTGTTGATCTCAAAATTTCTCACCTGATGGCTCCTATATGTTCCAGCAGCAAGTTTCTTCTCCTAAAATGTATCACAGTGTAGCAGTTTTGGGACCAAATTTACACATTATCTGTCATACATGTAATTGAATTGATCCCCATATTTGTCACGATATCGTCTTTGATCTGCACGATCCAATGCTCTGGCAACCCTCATCATCGTTGACCTTAGAAAACGAAACATTTTTTAATTAAGCGTCTGGCTTTGAAGTGCCTGTTAATGAAATTGCTGTTCAGATTTCCGGACTTTCAAAAATGATTAAAAATTACAGTGTACATACATAATTTTGTCAGCCAAAATGTAGACTTTGATGAGTTTTTAAGTTTGATACATCAAAAATAAATTTATAAGAATATTTCATTTGTGTCCTTTCTATGATTTTTATTACTTTAAAAAGACGCAAGATGCATTTTCAAAATTGAAATTAATGGCTCGATTACAGAGATGAGGCGATTTTTCGAGCCTGCAATTTGGCAACAGCGAATCACTATCCTTTGCCTGCACCTACATATCTTGCTTCAAGTAAGTCTGTGTTATACAGATATTATAGCTCATATGCATCATTAAAATAGTGAGCTGCCGATCTCATTTTGACATGCGAAGGTCCTATCCCATGTACCTCGAGCTGAAATATTTTTAAAAATCTGGGTGCCAAAGGATGTTATTTGATACGTATTTCAGATTCTATCTGGAAGGCTTGAGATGGGCACAGTTTTGGAAACCCTCTTTGTTAGGAGCCTCTTGCCGATCACTGAACCGCATCCGACGATGGTGCTCCAACACTGGCACAATTCTATGCTATAAAATTGCACTCATGAATTAAAGAAGCAGATGCAGCTGCTAGTAAAAATTTAAAAAGCAAAGTAATTCTTCACGAAAAATAGAAAAAAATAGCTGTATACTCACTTCTTAAACACTTTTTTGGATAGTCTATTAAATGATGTTTTTTCATATTGCTTTAAATCTGTTAATCCTGGATGTTTCTTGGTTTTCCTTTTGAGGCGACCATTTTTGGTCCTTTCTGGCATTTTTAAGTCAACGCCTGTTTGTTTCTGTGAATAAAACATTAACTTCCGGTTAATTAACAAGTGATGGTTTACATACAATTGCTGAAGGCGTGGAAAATCAAAGGAAAAGTTAGACATTCTCAAAGACTCCTCTTCTGATCATGAAATACCGATTTACTCATGTTCAATTTATAAATGCGAACAATAAATATGACAAAACGTTCATTGAGAGTTAAAAAGAAATAGTAAGCTCTTAGAAGGGCGCAATATAATTACTTTCTGAATTGTATTCAAGTCTCAATTTTTCGCCATTAACATTAAGAAATGTATCACTGATTTTCTCGAGACACCTTTGAGGTACAAAAGTTAAAATTGAAGACATATCAATTTGATTTCACTTCCTCTAAGCCCCGACAACTGAAAAACGAGAGCATGTATTTTCTAGTTTAGAATTTTTTATCACTCTTCCATGTACAAATTTAAGCAAAATTATGTACAAACTGACTGCGGAGGACGCACGTTGGCTAAAAAACTCCAACATTCTATCAAAATTATATCATTCATACATCCTTAAGTGTCCAAGATAAACAAAAACTTTGCATCCACGCAATTGATGTGTTTCAAGTGCAAACATAAATTAGAGTTTTTGTTTACGATTTTCACTTGCACATTGGCAGTTAATAGCCAAATCATTTTAACAATATATAGCAAGGGGATGAAAAATTGAATAGGTATCCTAAGAGAAGAAGTTAGGGAGTGACCAATACTAAAAACTTTATCTATTCATCAATAAACTTTTTCATCTGCAATTTTGACCAATTACCAAAATTAGATCAATTCAAAATTCAGAAAATCAACCGAGTAAAGGTAGGCACCTGGGACTTCGCAATTTAGTTCATGGAGGTAATCCCCCGATATTGATGGCCTGCAACTCCACAATTACATTAAAAATCATTGGTGTTACCATGATCTGAAACATTACCTTCAACTCAGCGAGCAGAACTGGATCCTGCCAGTCTGGACGTTCCTGCTGTTCTTTTTCATGTTGTTCTTGTAGTTTCATCTTTTCCTCTATGTTGGTGACCTGACCAGTTTTGTCTCTCCCAACAATTTTTCCATGAAAAGGACACTGTTGAAAAAAATAAATAATCTAATAAATGACTTTTCAATTAATTACAGACAGTGCCTAAACCATTGCATGTTTACGACTGTTCAGGAAAATCCATCAACGTATGCTCAAATAGTCTGAAAAATTTTGCTTCCTGCTAATCCTTATTGGCAAACATTAAATTTTTTCCAAAACAATAAGCATTGAAAACTAAAATTCAATACAACGACATTGGAGTGATTTACTATGAGGAGAGCTTCAAGAAACCGATGCAAAACTGACCAGTCAACTATAAATAATGTGAACCCTCTGTTCTCAAACTGTTGTCAAACAATTGTTTAAAGGTCATCTTGTTCCCTGCCAGACATCATCATCAAGTAATAGAGACAGGACTAGCCTTAAAATCCAGAAACAGATACTAGGTTAATGCCTAGTTTAATACTAGGTTGATACATAAAACTAGATTTAGATATTATACAAGTGGATAAAATAATGCATTTTTTGGCATATTATTAGATAAAAAATATCTCGTCAATAAGGTAAAAAATCATCATTTTAAAACATGGGCTACGACCAAATTCACAAATAGTATTTACCTAAAAATATTAGAGATCCCTGAAAAAAACTTGGTCATTTTTGCGGCTGATAAAAATAAGTTATTTAGAATCCAACTATGTATGTACCTTGACTCTGTCTTTGCGAGGACATAATTGACCGTTTGGCATTGGAGCTCGACACTCCCACTTAACAGGCTCAAATTTACCGCTAAACTCAATTACTCTGGTTCGCAAACTGGCAGCACCATCTGGCACAGGAATTTCTTGCATGTCTTCTGCTGATACAGATGACCAAAATCGATGCCCTTCAGAGCCATTTCTGGAATAAATTAAACCATAATATTAATAATTGAAACATCACTTTGTAAATTGTTAAAGGTTACTAAAAACAGCAAAATGCTTAGCTATAGGTTTATTTGTTCATACTTTGAAATTGAAAAACCAGCTGATATCATGACTATGTACAAAGTCTTTTGGGACACTACAACTGTAAAGTAATGTAATGTATTGTAATTCAAACCCTAGACCTCTGAAGCTAAGCACTCTAGACCACAACACTATTGCAAAGTTCGGAATAGGAAACTGTAATTTCGCTACTTCGGCAAGCTACACTTTTTGCCAAAGTTTCTTTTTGAAACTTTCAGGGTCCATAAGTAAAACTAGGAAAATAGAGGTCAAATACGAAACTATCGGCCATACTTCAAGCAGGTCTGGATGAGACTTTTTGAGACCTCCCCATGTGAGAAGAACGCGCTCTAACATTTCAAATGAAAAGATGGTATCGCATCTGTGAGGACGCTTGACGGTTAAAATACTTACCCTATCAAAGTTGGAGCTTTAACATCATTTTCTTCCCAATGGTAGAGATCGATATCAAACGGCACTTTTGGAGCTAAAGCGAGAAGTTTTTTCTTTCTTTCAGAGAGCTTAGTTGGACTGCATTCCTCCGATGAGGATTTTGATTCTTCAGCTTTGGGTTTTTTGGATTTCTTTGGAGTTTTCTTCAGACTATGTAGCGCTGCTTGTGCACTGGTAGGATCCTTAAAGAGGGAAGAGGATATTATTTCACTACTCATAAAATGCTATAAAATGATAGAATGAAGTAGATAATAAATGTCTCATAAAGAGTTTTATGAAACTACTTTGGTTGAATATTCAAATTTAGAGAGCTACACAGTTACAGTCGGCAACTTTCTTTAAAAAAAAAAAAAAATAGAACTTTACAGCTTCATGAATTCAGACACAAGATATTACATATCAAAAGGACGACTTTTATCTTCATTTTCCGTACAGAGAGCCTCAAATAAAATAAAGGCCTAGAAGTAGATAAAATTGGTTGTTCCTGGAATATAATTTTCTTTGGTCTACAGGTATGCAACAAAAAATTGAAAAGAGACAATTTTAAATGAGTTTTCAGTTTGCTCACAATTTACTTGACATATTTTTTTAAGAACTTACTTCTGCTTTTTCCTCTGTAGATAGTATACTCCAAGCATTGCTGTCTTTTGCCACAACTCCTTTTTGACTAGCAGTCTCACATGTTTTATCATTGGTTGAAGCAGCTTCACTGAGTTTTGGATCCTTTATGTTGGCCTCTTTGTTGGGATCTTCAGCTGCCAGAACTACAGTTTCATCGATTGGAACGTCCTCCAGTTCAGAATCTGTCGAGACTTCATCCTCTCCACGCATTTTAATGATTTTCAATGTTTTGAATTTCTGTACCACTTGTTCAACTTTTTTTTTTAAATCAACCACTTTTTCTAAATCCTCTTTTTTACCTATTAGAAATCATATTGAAGAAAAATAAAGGGATTTCAAAAAGGCATTGATGACACAGAAATGCACAAAACACACATGCACTAATTGATTAGATTTTTACAAATTAATGCGAAAAAAACAGTGCCAAATGAGTCTCTATTTCTTACAACAATACATAAAAAGGTAGTGACTAAGACAGATGGTAATTAATTATTGTACTGTGGATTAAACACAGCCACCTTATTTTTAGATTAGATAAGAATTGAAAGGAAACTTAAGCGCTATCATCACTGAGAAGGAAGGGCGGTAAAGACTCCAAAATAACTTACAGATAAAGAAATAAGTAAGGGAAGTTTTAGTTTTTTTAAGTGTAGCAATTCTCATTTTACTTAATTTGGTATGATTCTTGTTCAACGATTATCTGAATTTTAAAATGTTAGGCAATTTTGAACTCCTACTTACCAATCTTGGATAGAGTTCTTTCCCATGACTTCAACATTGATGTAAATTTATTACTTAGAAGTTTATGCTGATCTACAGCATTTTCCAGAACTGCTTTATTTTCTGAGCTTTCATGAATAACAGGACCTGTGAAGTTGAAAAACGATATCAAAAGCATGAAAATATCAGTGCCCCAGATCAAAAAGGGACCTGGCAAACATGCTCGGCAAAAACAAGTTAATGAAATTTTGGAGATCTGGTAAACAGATTCCTTAGAAAAATCGGTAGCTGCAAGTAACCCTTCTTTTGAGATGGGGAGTTTTGAGTATTCAGCAGTCTGGCTATGAAGAGGAGGTATTTACAAGTAGAACAATGCAATGAGAATATAGAAAACATTTTGCGATCATAACCATGAAGCTGGATTACTTTTGCATCATTGAGCTGGTAAATGCCGATATTAAATGATCAATAAAATATGCTACATGTGTAAGGTGCCTAAGCAATTTGAAATAAAAAAAAAATTGCAACTTATTTCAATTTTATTGGAGTCAATTTTAATATTAGAAGTTCCTTAAATAAGTGAAAAGACAACATTGACAACACTGCGATGCAGCAATTATTTTATCAGAGCCCATTTCAGATGACTTTTCCTTTTCGGCTGTATGCACAGAATACAGTAATCCGCACCCTGCGCATACAGTGAAAAAGGAAAAGTTATCGGAAACAGGCTATGTGTGATTAGAATTTATTGAAACCTGTAATACTTGGGTTGCTGTGGACCTAAAAATGACAGTCAGACAAGCCTTTGATCACAGTTCCCCCCTTCACCCTCCACCCAAATAATTCTACGGCCTGTTGCTTGCTGATACATCAGTACACTTCAGTTAATTTAATTCAGAATGTATAAATAGGAACAAAACTTACCTTCATTTAGACAGATTTCTATGGCATACTTTGAGCTCATTCCTCTCTCACGATACTCTAGGTTTGCCTCATCTTCAATGGCAAAGTTTTCTTCTTCAACTGCAACTTTACTTGAGGATGTACTTTCTGCAGATGTAGATGGCTTTTCAGTAGAGAAAGACCCGTCTTCATCATCAAGCGAAAAATCATTTAATCTGGGAACTAATATACCCATACAAGCTTCCAATGCATTGACTGCCATCCTGATTTCTGTTTCATTCTCTGAAATCATCCCCAAGTCAAAATAAATGTCAAAAAGTGCAAGAATATTCTATCACTTTTCAAATGTAAATGAGACCTCTGAAATATTTAACAAACTCTTCTTTTATCTTTTTTATAAAAAAAGGCAGTGTTTTTTCTTTGTAAATGACAAAGTTGAATACAATGAGCCTCTAGACAGGGTAAGAACTGGAGGCTCTAAGCACATGAATCTGCATCAGAATTTCGCGTAGAATTCAATGGTACAAACGGGAATTCATGAAACCAACTCATAAGCGAGAAATTTGCGTAAATAGAACGCGCATTTTTGAAAATCCCGCTCGCCGTAATATACAAATGACGTCATATTCTCGCGCACGATTTCCGGCGGCTGCTTGAGTCAAATCAGTGTGTAAATAGCGCCGGCCTCTAACCAAGTGAGTACTGAAAGAGATACGATTACGAACGAAACAACCTCAGCGAGTAATAACTAAACCGTGGTAATGTTAATAACAGTATTCTCGGCATAGCTTCCCTTTTTTCCCTTGTGTCTTTTTGATAAAAAAATCGTGAAGGATGAAAAGGACAGACATGTTGAACAGAAGTGGCAACACCAAATCGGTATCAGCTGCTCAACCGCGGCAATCTGTGTTTTGCCGAGTGCTGTTTTGAGGTTATTCTAAATCATACATAATGCTTACCTGCGTCAACGTGTGAATCATTTTTAAAATCGCTACTATCAATGGAACGAAAGTATGTTGCAAAGTGTTTTGTGCCTAAGTGCCCCCATTCTTCAGTGTCCTCGCCGGAGAGAATTTTTTTCAACGTGCCTAGGAACCAAGACAGAATTACGTGGTATGCTGCGGTTGGAAAGCAACAAAGGCAGCAGAGTGCCTCCTCCCTGAAATCACCTCAATTTTGTTGTGATGTTCACTTTGATGTAAGTTCCGTTGCATTTCATCTAATAGGCATGGAGTAAATATGACTATTAACTCAAAATTCCTGTTTAGGACAGGATTTCAAAACAGCAACATGTTGAATTTTGTGATTGGTAAACTCTTGTATGATCCATAGCAATGGTTTTGTTGAGTCTCAGATCTTATCATAACAAGGCGAAGCACTATATAGCCGCCTCCAGAGGAGCTTGATTTACACTCCACCCCTCTTGCTACCATCAGCTCCCGTCCTGTTTCATTTGGACATATTTCTGCTTAATGGAACTAAGCGCCAAATTGAGTTCCTTTTGAGAATTTCAGAATCCTGGCTAGCGCGTTCTGTCAAACAGAACTAAGAGCTATGGAGAAGCACTGTGAGTGTAGGACGGAATGAGCACTGCGTTCTGTTACACCCGCCAATCCAAGCCCCTCTCTCCCTCCCGCCCCTTATGGCACCTAGTTCCATTTGATAGAAATATGTCCATTTGAAAAGCTGCTTTCACCTATACCGAATAGGGGTTGTGTGGAGAACCAGTTTCTGTTTGATGGACATGTCAAGCGTGCATGCAAGTTCAAGCCCTCAATGAGACATTTTCAGCTCTCATTTCTCGCTCATTCTATTTTGAGACAAAAATTATATCTTGAATCATTAAAGACATATCAACAAAGCCATCTAAAAGCATGCCTTGAGGTGTTGAGCAATGGTGATTGCAGACCAAGTAGAAATTTACTGTTGTCTGAACATACAATGAGTTTGCCCTGCACTCATGAAGAAAGTTATAATTTTTTAGTAAAAAGTGTCATATCATTAAGTCGTCAGGAAGTTTTGTAACAAGACACTGTATTACATGTTTGCTCTCCAAAATTCAAACCAGGGAACGATGGGTCCAACAGTACTTAATTAAGCTCATTTATTAGTAAAAAGACAAAAGAATTTACTGATAATAACAGTTGCATTGTGAATGTTACCATCTGCTTTCACTGAACAGTCCAGTGCTTACAGCAGTTTTGTAATCATAAGTTGCAATCCTAAACCTTTTGCTCTATATATCCTAATATCCTAATACACTTAGTTTGAGGCATTTAATGTAATATTTTGATATACCTAAAATCATCATCATTATAGCTGTGTACCCTTTACATTTAGTTATTTCTCTTCAAACTTAATGACATTTCATACACCATTTAAACATTTTGCTGTTTTGTTTTGGTTCTTTTTCAGATGAATAATGATGTCGAAGGTTGGACTATGTACCGAATTTTTAAGGCCTCAAGAGATCCAAATCGTCAGTTGCGGCTGAAGAAAGGTGTTTTACCTCACATTTTTCCAAAGGTGAACTTTCTCTTTCTAGGAAATGATTGAGTTGTGTTTTCAGCAGTATCATTTTCAAATTTTTATGAAGGTAGTACTGAAAGACAATTTCACTCATCTTTGTTGTTACAGTGAGGATGTGGTCTTATGGATTGATTTCATTTGTTGATGAAGTCACAAGAGCTCATTATTTATTGAGGTTAATCGTTAGAAAAATGCAAAGTAATATACCTATTACAGCCCATCAATCCAATACTATTTTGTGTGCATCAGTTCAGTTATCCTTTGATTACCAATCAGTAAAGTCAATCAATGTGACTACTTATGGATCCTCAGTCGCTACAAATCGATCCCCAGTATTAGAAGGAATATAAAAGCAGTCCATGCAGAAGTTTCCAAATAAAAATTCCAACTTTTTGAAATGTCATTGGCCATGTGGTAGGGCAGTAGACAAAATATGAACAGACTTTCTTTGTCATTTGTTTTCTCTCCGGAAAGTAACTCAGTAAGTAAACAACCCAAATATTGAGAAACTTTGAAATGATGATGTGAAGATGAAAGTGGAAATATACAGAGGATCTCATCTGTGTTCTATCTGATGAACGTTATGCTTCCACATTAACAATAAGATCTCCCCCTAGAGACAGTTTTTAAAACTTACTGTCATGTAAAAAACTGTCTAAATGAAATTTAAAGAAGAAGCATCTACTCTGTGCTCATTACAATGTCCCCTGTCAAATTAAGTCATACATGGACCAAAGCATTGCTTTATGCTCCAATGTCAATAACTCGGTTTGGAGTTTTCATGGACTCCTTTTCACCTTGAACACTCAAAAATCGATGTCCAAAGTGCCAAGGATGTATCTCTACAGCAGTGTTTCTAAATTTCCTCTCCTATTTTATTTTTTAAATGACAAGCAAGTCAATTTTGCAGCTAGAAATTTATACAGAAAAAATACTTTTTTTTTTTTTTTTTTTTTTTTTGTTTTTGTTTAATGAAAAAATACTCATCATAATTTTTGGAGAACTTCCTTGATTTGCTCCTTTAATTGAAGAATCTTCCACAAAAATGTCAAGCATTGGTGTCAGTTTGTTATCATTTGTTAAAAGAAATTGGTACTTAAGTAGTAGAGATTTTATAACACTGCAAACGGGTACGCATTTTTGAAGTTTCACGGTTGATATGCTTATCCCAGAGATGCTTGTCTAACTTTACTTTTAAGTATTCCTAACCATGGCTCTCTTTTTTTTTCAGAATGAATTGACTGAACCTGTCAAACCCTGCAGTGTATCACTGAATGATCCTCCTGATGTTGAGAAATTGACGGCAAATGCTGGATGCTCTGTGTTCAATAGAACCCAGCCTGAGGACCCGAAAGTTTTCAGTTGTGAGGTACAAAATATTATTTCTTTTACATGTCTTTCAGTGCTTCCTTAGGTGAATGATTTAAGGAGTGGGATTTAGGAAGTGTGTAAAGTTGCANTTTTTTTTTTTTTTTTTTTTTTTTTTTTTTTTTTTTTTTTTTTTTTTTTTTTTTTTTTTTTTTTTTTTTTTTTTTTTTTTTTTTTTTTTTTTTTTTTTTTTTTTTTTTTTTTTTTTTTTTTTTTTTTTTTTTTTGGTTTAATGAAATAATACTCATCATAATTTTTTGAGATCTTCCTTGATTTGCTTCTCTAAGTGGAGAATATTCCCAAAAAATGTTAAGTGATGGTGTCGGTTTGTTATCTTTTGTTAAAAGAAATTGGTACTTAAGTAGTAGAGATTTTATAACACTGCAAACGGGTGCGCATTTTTGAAGTTTCACGGTTGATATGCTTATCCCAGAGATGCTTGTCTAACTTTACTTTTAAATATTCCTAACCATGGCTCTCTTTTTTTTTAGAATGAATTGACTGAACCTGTCAAACCCTGCAGTGTATCACTGAATGATCCTCCTGATGTTGAGAAATTGACGGCCAATGCTGGATGCTCTGCGTTCAATATAACCCAGCCTGAGGACCCGAAAGTTTTCAGTTTTGAGGTACAAAATATTATTTCTTTTACATGTCTCTCAGTGCTTCCGCAGGTGAATGATTTAAGAAATGCACTTTGACAAACATGTAAACAATACTCGTGTAGATACTCTATTGAGCTCAAGACTAAAAGAATATAATCTACATCTAATATTGATCTAATATTGAAGTTTCTCCCTGAAAAATATTACAAGACGAAGCAGCTATTTTCACAACGAATTCTGTTCTTAGGTTCAGTAACTTCAAAGTAACAGTGCCTGAAATTTCTTTTCCCTCCATTCTCATCAGACTTCCGCCAGTTGCACCGAGGAGTAAATTCAATCAAGGGTGGAAATAGGTAAGAAATAAGTAACCTCCTCTAACTTCAGGAGAATGCATCCATTCAATTTATCCAGCGATCTATATTGATGTATATCGGGATAGATGTGCGGAATCCCGTTAGAGCAGATGCGGGTTTCGGAACCATTCATACTAGGATGGATTCTTCAAGCAAAAAATAGGCGCAATGCTGTGCAAAAAGGGGAAAGCTTGCAACGAATAACTACAGAGATTATAGACTTAACAACACAGATGTTATATAATACTGAAGTTAACAATGTACAAAAAGCAGAAAATTAGTATAAAAAGGTTAACAATAGTGTAAAAAAGAATGTAAGGAACGTGTTGAGAAAGAAGTGTGACAAAGAGGCTGAATCAAGAAGTAAGAAGACGTGGCAACTGCGTACCAGGTAGTAGCAAAGGAATGTTGGTACGGTAACAAAATGACTATGAGCAAGAGATGGAATGCGTAAGCAAAAGGTGTGTAAGTGATCAATTGATAAAGAGTGTAGGTCAAGTTTGTCAAGGGAAGCCACGGAAAGAAATTAGGACAAGAGAGTAAAAAGATTAAACAGATTAAGTGGCAGAGTAAAAAGAGGGAAGGCTGGCAAAGAAAATAATTGAACAGAAGCCGAGTCAAAATATGATTTTACATGAGGAAATCGACGTGGAGAAGAAATTTATAAGTTTAAGAAAGGAACAAGTTGAAGGTATTTAAATACCTGTGACAATGTATCAACACAAGTTCAAGTAAAACAATAAAATATATATAAAGTAACAATTCGCTGAAAACTCATGAAAGTAGCAAAAGTATTGATGAAATTAATGCAGTCAGATTCCTTTTAGAGCTGGAGACATAAAATTTAAACCAAACTTTTATTTTTCCTCTGTGAGTAATATCCTAAGCAACATCAGCTGCTTTTAACCGTCCACTGCTTTTACTTGTTTTTGACTGAATGGTCTTAACAGCAGTGCTGAAAATATTTTTTCTTCCGAAGCATTTAAATGTATTTTTCTTTATTGAACATCATCACAGTTTAAGCTTGTACTAAAGTACCTAATTTGATTTATTCACTTTCCTACCTCAATACTTTCTTTTGACTCAACTACTTCAATTAAAGAACTGTAATTTCTCTTTCTTTCCAGAATGAAATGACTGAACCGGTCACATTTTGCAGTGAATCTCATAATGACTCTAATGATATCGATGAACTGATTGCCACTACTGGATGCTCTACAACAAACACTTCTTGGCCTGAGGATCCACAACCCATCAATTATCAAGTACGAAATATTCTCTCCCTCTTATGCTCCCTTAGATGATTCATTTGAGAAAAATTTACCAATGGCTGAAGTCACTAAATGTGCATCTCGTTTGCAAAGATGGAAAATGCGTAATCATATTTTGTTTTTTAGAAGATTGCGATAATCAGATAAAATTAATATGTTCAAAGCCATAGCCTTTACAAGATACTAACCTACATACCTACTTGAAATGTTTTGTGATTTTCATTGAGTGAACGGGAGAAATTTGTAGCAAGCTTGAAGCTACTAGTCAGCTTTATTTAAAAAAGAAAAAGAGAGAATGAGAGGAGACTTGCATTATTTGCAACTTTGCGAAAAAAGATTCACATTTGAATCAGTGAGAATGAAAACACACCAACTCGAAAAAATGAACATAATCAAGACACACGCAAAACTGCACAGTAGTTGAAGAAGTTAGCAGAAGAAAAATATTTTTTGTGCCGAAAGACAAGTACTAAAGGATAATTTAAAGGTCCAAGTTGGAACAAATGCATTAACTTCAATGACCTTTATGAAAATTGACTATCTTTAATGAACATTGAGCATTTTTGAGTTACTGAGTTGGTGTGTTTTTGTTCTCACTGATTCATTTTTTGACTTGACTCATTTACAAAGTACATCGATGCAACAAAATATTTTATTGTATGGAGAAAGACTGAAATCTTTCAATCAGCTAAGTAGTTGTTCTCTTGCTTTAGAAAATGGTGAAGACCTTTACCTAGAGATTTTTGTCTCTCCTCATTGCTTCATTAAAAGCTCTGACAATTTTTTTTTTTTTTTTTTTTTTTTTTTTTTTTTTTTTTTTTTTTTTGCATATTCATGAGCATAAACAGATATTTTACTTATTTTACTAAACGAATCAGTCTTTTTTCATTTTGATACATTTTATAAATATTATTTGAATTTTTTCTTCCGTTTTGCAGGCTTTATCCCCCAAACAGTGTTCGAAGGAGACAAGACTTCGAAGAAAAAGGAAGAAAAAGGAAGACCCGAACTTCCTTTATGATTTTAAATCAAGTAGTCCTGTCACCTCAAACGCCCAGTCTCAAACCAGTAGCAATGAATTGAGCCAAAGAAAAGAAGAAGAAGATGAGAGACAAAAAATTAGAGCTCTTAACATAAAATTAATGGAGAATAATTCAAAATTTTTCTTGGGGGTTAATCCAAGCGCTTTAATCATCATTGATCGCCTATCTGAATATACTCAGTGTTCTCGATTAAAGATTTTGATTGCTCTTCGAAAAATTCGTTGTAACGAATCTGCAACCATGTTGGGATTTATGTTAGGCTACTCTAATAGTTACATTGGAAAAATTATTAGAGAGGTCATTCCAAAATTAGCTGATTATTTGAGAAGTTTGATTTATCAGCCAAATCAAGATATAATTCAATCAAATTTGCCAGTTCCTTTCCGAGCATCATACAGTGACGTAGCTTATATCATTGATTGTTTTGAGATTGAAATAGAAAAGCCTTCCAACCCAGTTGATCAGGCTTTAACATGGTCGGAATATTACAAGGCTAATACTTTAAAGTATTTTGTATCAGCAACGCCTGATGGGTTCATTAATTTTATATCAGGAGGCTTTGGTGGTAGGATCTCTGACTTGTTAATTACAAAAGAATGTGGCTTCTTACAAAAACTTCTTCCTAGAGTAACCGTGATGGCAGATAGGGGTTTCAAAAACGTTGAGACCATATTAGAGCAACAGAACTGTAAACTTGTAAGACCTCCAAGTGTAAAAATGGGTGAACAGCTTTCGGAAGAAGAAGTGAAAGAAGGAAAAAAAATAGCAAGCCTAAGAATTCATATTGAGCGAGTAATTGGTAGACTAAGAGAATATGAATTTTTATCTGCCCACTCTCTTTTTCATCATGACCTCGTAAATTTAGCAGACTCTTGTGTTATCATTGCTGCAGCTTTAGCTAATTTGCAAACCCCGCTCACAAAGACATAAATTGTCACAATTCACATTTCCATTTTCAATCACAATCACATTTTCTGTCTGTATAGACGAGGAAAGATGTGTTCTATCCAAAATTTAGTTGCAGCCTCTATTAATGTATTACAATATTGTTCATCAAAATCAACTTCAACGATTTTTACATATTTATTACTCTCAAACTTGGGCGAGGCAACACAGAAATAGCCTTTTTTTCTACCCGTGAGAAGCATCTGCAGATGCATCTGCGCTTTGTGTTTGTCCGATGGTTGGTTGTTCTCTTTAAAATAAGTATTGAACGCTGCCTCCGAAGTTGGGCACTTAATTTCGATGACATGAGTCTTGGTCAGTCCATCTGGAGAGGCACCAAAAATCGGGTATTTGCTGCTCAAAACGATGCCTGTATTGTAGATTCTGATGCCCAGAAGCTGTCTGATTCTCCTTTTGACATCAGCCTCTAGATCAGAGCCTCGTTTCGTCGCTGCATTGCCCTTAAATGGCTTAGCTCCAAAGACGGATTTGACGTAAGAGCCGTCACCTGTTTGGCAGTGAGCTGCTTCATGGAGTTTCGAAGCTGTCACTCTCCCATACTTCATGGTAAACCACAAAGCCGAACGACTTTGAGCGGTAGTCAATTTTTCAATCATTTTACAAGCTGCAGGGTCCATCTGTGTGCTCATGAAATCCATGAAATTCTGAGAACCTTGTGCAATATCTAAATCTTTAAAATCAAGGATTAGCTGGGCCACCCCTAGGCCATGTTTCCTGTCCAACTGCCTGGATAACATGACATCTGAAATAAAAAAATAAAGTTGTAGCTTAATGCTTGAGCTCTTCTTCTGCTCTTGTACAAGTAGGTAAAGTGTAACAAAAGTAAAAACATCTCTCTCCTCTAAGTGAGTGTTACCAAAATTTTGCAAAAATGATTACTCTTGGAGGAATCCTATTGTGAAAGAATATACCAGTATCTTTTTCTTGCTGTTTTTTCTCTTTGTCAAATTTTATGTTGAAAATTTATTTATATTTTTATGTCTAAAATGTGCCCTAGGAAACTTGTGATGAAATGCTAATGTTCATTTTTAATGTTAAGAAATAAAAAAAAAGTAAGAACAGTAATAATAATTTGACCTGGCCCAGTTTGTTGTTTCATTTTACAAAGTAAAACATATTTTTTGAAGAAATTTTCCCTTTTATACCTCAATAAAATCAGAGAAAGAAGCACAATTAATCCTTGCCAATAGTCAGCTTTTTTATTTCTTGGGTGTCTCAAATTCTGTCGCCTTAACAAATAGATTCACAGTCAAATACTTACGCTGATCAGATTAATAACTAACTAATATTATAGAACTGCAAATAAATAATAATGACATTATTTTCCAAAGAAAAATGAGCCAGGTCAAAATGGACAGGTTTATGCGAATCAGCCTCTGCACATTGAATTTCTTTTTTGGCAACAGCTCTTTGACTTTTTAAAAAGTTAAAATAGAGTCTTTTCATAATAATGGCTAAAGTGTCATATTTTGTATCTGTCTTTGTGGCATTGCAGACTTCCTGTTTTCTCTAGTTTTTGGGTAGAAACCTACTCAACATAAAAGTTCTTGAGAACTTTCTTGATATTTCTGCTCTAATAAAGTTAGCTTGTTTTTCCTCAAAAAAAGAAAATAGTAGGAAATTTTGAAACACCACAATGGAGATGTCGCTAGCAAATAGTGAAAGCAGGCATTTTGTCAAATGCCTAGGTAGATAGCTAAATTTTGATTGCCTACAAAATTTTGTGAATTAATGGCGGAGAGCTCTTGAGTTTTCAATATTTGTGGAAAAAATCTCATCAAACCTACAAACTCTTGTCGTCTCTTCCTTCTAAATTGCTTCTCATATTTTTAAATGTTGAAATTCTGAAAATGCTTCATTCTCTGACTTGCTGAAAATATCAAGATATGTGTCTACTCAGGAGCTGAAAATTGTTTAAAATACTATTTCGTGATGCAAATTTTTACTGAGAATTTTTGCTTACAGGGTCAATTAATTATTTTGTCTAAAATGAGGAAAAGAATCAGAATTTCAATCTTAGCTAGAATATTTGACTATTTGCCTAGGCATTTCACAAAATACCTGATTTTACTATTTTCCTGTGACATAGATACGTCGTTTTGCACTTCAGCCATCGATTTGAAGATTGTAGTTAGGCTGATATCCATGAGAATCATCCAACTCATTGGCAATTAAGTACCTCAGAAGAACACTGTAAACTTAAAGAACGATGATTTTTTAATGAGAAAGTGGAATTTTAAACTTGAGTTTACTTCAAGTGCAGAAAAATTCAAGTAAGCTCTGAAAACAATCTGAATTTTAGGTACTTTCATCGATCGAAACTTCAGTACAAATCTCCAGAAAACTTCAGGAAGCATCAAGGGGGTTGAAAATAATTATTCTCAAAGTACCCCCAGTTGAACAATTTTGGATTACCTGTGCATCCTTTTTTCCTGTCATATGCAACCTCAACTGGAAATTGTGCCTTGAGACAACCCCTTTTACCTACGCCGACTATATATGTACTAGCCTGATTATATCACTAGAACCATTGGTAAAATAAGTTGAGTTACCTTCTTTTAAAGCTAGATCCACTGAGATATCTTTCAGAAAACTCCTCCTCTCTTCCTCGGAACTTTTATACTCCGGGGGCACAGCCAGCTCCTTTGCCTCTTTAAATTTCTTACTTCCTCCCACAGTGGAGAGGAAGGACTTTTTCCAATAGCAAGTTTTTGAAGTCACGGAGGGCTCTTCACTTCTCCGATGGAGCCATGTCACAAAAGCGACACTATGTTTGCATCCTCCTGAAAAAGAAGATAAAATAGAAAATCAAAAGGATGTACTTATGCAAAATATGTAATCCTACTGCCGGCTAATGCTGAATGTTGATTTTCTTTTTTTTTTCCCTTCTTTTTTATTTTTTTTTTATTTTAGCAAAATGTGTCCAGGAAATAATAATTTGAAATTTCTAAGGTGAGAACCCATACTTAAACTTTCTTCAAGAGTAAATCCGAAATGTGTTGTGATACCTACTTAAAGCAACAGTGGTCTCCCTGTTTGTGCTTCTATTCTAATCCATCATGAAACAATATTCTGTTCAGTATTGACTAAACTTTAATGCCATTTGCTTGCCTGTTATTTATTATTTAAAAAATAAATATTGAATAGTACTTATTAGCGTCTTATGATTCATAAAATGCAATAACTGCAGAGTGTCGGATGAATTTCATCGTAAGTAAGTGACCAAGACCTCTTTTCTTTACATCAACCTCTTTTTGGAGAATATTCATTCATCGTGGAATTGGAAATGGAACGATAAGGCCATCATTTAAAGCTTAAAATCAATTGACCAAGCTGCATTGGGGTTCGCATTAACTTTCAGATAGGTACATCCTAAACTTTGATTCCAAATCAGGCCTTGGTCAATCAATTTTGAACTTTGATATCCATCTAGGTGCTTAATTTATTTTCATCATGTGAATAAATTTTAAGGGAAGGTTACTGTCTCAAAGGCAGGGACAGATTTAGTTGATTTGACGGCAGGAAAGTGAGTCTGATATGAGAAATGCACTTTGAATATCATTGGCAAACATTTGTTTATTATAGACAGGCTACCTATCACATCAACTTGGTTCTTGCCTGCCCAATAATGGTAATGTAGTAAGTGAGTATTTCTGAATCATTTTAAAAAGTTCAAACCTTTAGCAGCAGCGCAATCAGTGCATGTCGCCTTTAAAATCTTCGGATTGTCGGGATTTTCATCAATTTCACAATGAATGGAATAAGTTTCCTTCCTTACATTGTGTTCTGGTGTAATTTCTGCGAGGATGGTGCAGATTCCCTTTTCTCTCTTTAATTGAATGTAGCCAATGGCATTGTCCCCATAACATGGTCTAGTAGATCTGGAAACAAGAAATAAGTTACCTAAGGAAGGGGGCCAACAAACTTATCTGAAAACTTCCACCGGGCACGCTAGGTATCTGATTGCTCAGTTTTACTGGCCCGTTTCATGCAAATGTCGCTTAACTTCTTAGAGTTCATATTATTGCTTAAGTGGGAAGAGCAATCCCCAGTTGACGGGATTAGGTAAAAAAAATCCACCATACCTTTCCACCTTCTTACTTACATCAGTTCGTGATTTCGATGGTTTAGTACCACAACTGCCTGTGATAACAGTATTGCTGTCAAGACAGTCATTACGCTATTGAGATTCAGGAGGAGTAATAGGAAGCATTCCCTAGAAGTGCACCAAGTCGTATGATAAAGATAAGAAGAGTGCTTATGAACCGTCCATGTCTATCATACGACTAATCCACATTCTTTCAAGAAAATATGTCTCCTGACCCCAAGTATACATCCAATATATTAGCTGGGATTTGAGTTGGGTTACGTATCCAATATTTTGTTTTATGTTTCGTTTGAATACTGATGATTATTAATTAAAAAGGAAGAGCCAGGATCAGAGACAGATTCAGTTACACTGCATCATTGCTCACTGGACTTTACGCACAGGGTTGGAATAATTGAGATGCACATAAGACAGTTGTTAGTTAGAAATAATAGTACTTTCAGATACGAGAATGTATTCAGATAACACCAGCTTCAATTTCACAAATGCATTCAATTTGAATAGTAAAATAACACTACTTAAAAATGTAATAAATTCGAGCCTGCAAAGTAAACAAATAAAAACAGCTGATATCTGTCATTCAACCCCCCTCTTCCTTCCTCTCGAACCATCATTGTAACATCTTCAGGCTGTTGTCACATTTAAGTATGTACTTCTTTTGTTGGAATAGACTTATTGAAAGCACACGAAAAAGATTCTGTGTTTTGCCGATTTATTAATATTTATCATCTGAATATTGAAGAATGCGTATTCATATGAAAGTGTTACAGAGCCTCTCTGAGTGCTGAAATTGAACATACTTACTTTCGAGTTTTTCCATGCTGAATTTCAGGTTCAACGAAGTCATCTTCTTCCTTGAAGAAATTTCTCACCACAAATGAGTCGATTAAGGGCAAATTACCCGAATCGGCTTTAACAAAACCACTTGCCACTCTTTTCATTTCAAAACAAATCTCAATCTCTCTTTCAAATCTCAACACAGTCACCGTCAGTCCGTCAATTCATATGCGGCGCCAAAACAAGTGGTTGACACCGATTTGACTCAAGCAGCCGCCGGAAATCGTGCGCGAGAATATGACGTCATTTGTATATTACGGCGAGCGGGATTTTCAAAAATGCGCGTTCTATTTACGCAAATTTCTCGCTTATGAGTTGGTTTCATGAATTCCCGTTTGTACCATTGAATTCTACGCGAAATTCTGATGCAGATTCATGTGCTTAGAGCCTCCAGTTCTTACCCTGTCTAGAGGCTCATTGTTCTCATTAACAACTGATGAAAATCTAAAATCTTTGCTCAAGTGCAAGGAAGGAAAATCTTGCAACCTGCAAAATGATATCGTTTTTGGTTGCCAAGAGTTATGATTGCAACTATCAATAGGCAAAGCTACCAAACCACTTGGCAAATTCTTCTGCGCTTGGAAGTTCTGAGGAAGTTGTATCACATTTTGTAAAATAACATACTTGTAATTTGAGTACATCCAATTGAAGGAGAATCAACTTCATTACGAAGATGGAGTTGTTACAGTATCCTCTTTTTGCGATGCTACAATCATGCCTTACAAAGTCAATATACTCAACTGTTTTCAGTTGATTTGAAGAGCCTGATAATGAACCCATTTTTACAAGATTTTGAATGAAATTTTACCTATTAAGCTAAGTAATGAAAGTTTGGAGGGAATGATTAAAGTTTGCCCAATTTTACATAAAAATTTAAGCAGAAATTTTACACAAATTAAGAATCAAGAAGACCAAAGGAAAATTTGTTGACCCAAATACGTGGATAGCAGATCTGGTACCTGAAATTTCAGCATGTAGTTTAATTAATTTGGCCTCTATTTCCATTCGTTTCCTCCTTTCAATCTGTCTATTTAAATCACGAGTTAACGATTCCTCTCTTTCTAAGCGCTCAAAATTAATCTGGAAAATGGGGAAAAATAGTTAGTTACATGAGACGATACTTGAAAAAAGTCAGGGTTTTAATGAGAGACCATTCATTATGATTAGTAACACCACTTGAAATATGATTAATGTAAGAAGAGATTAGCCAAGGTGTTATGTGTTTTCACTGATTTATTTATTTAATAAAGCCGAAAAGCTTTAGCACATATATTAAATAAATAAATCAGTGAAAACACATGACACCTTGGCTAATCTCTTCTTACATTAATGAGAGACGGTTTAACCAGTCTATAAAACAAGACAAAAGTTGATATTTCTTTCAAGAATTTGCTTGATGATTAAAGAGCTTAAATATTGATAGGCATCAGTCCTTTACAAACAATTTTCTAATTGTAATGATGAAAACTTATAATTTTTTTGTAAAATCAATGATCTTCTACTGACATCTAGGATGGATGTAACTTCTTCAACTTCCTTGGACTAATAGACTGTTTACAGAGGGCAAATGAATGACTAAGAATGACTGCAAATTAAACACTAAGTACCCACATTTTGTGTAATTCTGAAAACAGCTTCCAAATTGTTACAACTTAAAAAGTTGAAAATATTACTGAAAATTGAGGAAAACATGGGACATGAAATTGGAGGATCGTTGGATAAAAGGGCACAAGTCCAGCAAATAAAAAAGAAAAATTCTTACCTTTGCACATTTTTGTAGATATTGGAGTCCTAAAGAAAGCCTTTTATATGCAGGTCCATAGACTGAATTCCATTCCTTCACAGTTTTCAAAGCCATTTTCTTCAGGTTTTCTGCTACTTTTCTGGGTGGTGGCATTCGATTTTTAGCATTGATCTCTGCTGTCAATTCGAAAATTTGCTGTAAATCTGCAATGATGAGCTCACGAAAAAGGTGAGATCTCCTGAAAAATCAATATGAAGTCTTATTATCTACTTACGAGGCACAGATACTTATAAAATAAAATAGCAATGACACGATAGGAACAAGAGGTACTCTGTTTCACCAGGGTGCGGCAAGTTCCTCAGAACCAAGGATACAAAAACTTTTCAACTATGTGATCCATGGTTGCCATCAATTGCAGGCAAAAATGAAAAGTCCAAGAACGAGTTTTCACAATGGGAACAGCAGCATAAAGATTTGCATGTTTATTGCAACATCAAGGTGAAAATGGCATGTTTTTTACAACATGTGGTGAAATCAACAAGATTTTAAATTGTTTAGCAATTTGTATGTTCAGAGCAAAATAGAAGGTCATCAAAATGACCCATGTTTTCAGGAAAAAATACTCATTTTGACCTTAAGAACTGTCCCCTGAGCTCCTGCTAATTAAATCTGGAACACACTGTACAATGTTTCCTGACTACATATAGCAGGCCCAAGATATCAGGTATAAAACCAATTTAAAACATCCCAATTGATGAGAACTTACAAGATGAATTTTCATACGTCTCATCCCCTTTGGGTTTACTTATGGTAGAGGAAGTTAAAAGAGGTAATGTAGTATGAGACAGTTCATCTCACCTGAAAAATTCATCGCAGATCTGAAAAGCGCTGAATCGAATTTCTGCATGATCTTTTTTCATGAAGTCCATGACAAGTGTGTACATCCTTTCAATGTAAGAAGAAGACTGTCTAAAAAGTCAAAAGGAAAAACAGAAAAATTAGAGAGTAATTCAACGATGGGTGACAGTCTAAAAATGAGAATCCACATCCCTGATAGTTAATGGGCCAGTTGCGCTGATCACAAAATTGTTTTTGATGCTTGATTCGTGTAAATTAGCTGACAATAATAAAATCCGTCCAAACTGCAACTTTCCACCGTCAATATTAACAGAGATATAGCACTTTGAAAAGTCAGGTTTTTGACGTCATCTACCGCGGCAGTGACACGCTTGGTTTCTTCCTCTTCTGCTCGATCAATAATGCAGGAGACGCAACGCAAAACTTAAACGACATAAAACATTAACAAACTGTGGTGAACTGACTGACCGCCAAATCTCCTTTTGTCGAGTGCATTATCTCCTGATAAGAAGATCCTCGAAGCACGAATCCGTCTGTTTCTTGAGTTTGTTTATATTTAATGTCTGTGAGGTTTTTCATTGCATTTCCTCCATCATTGATCGAACAAAAGGGGAAGAAACCAAGGGTGTCACTGCTGCGGTGGATGATGTCAAAATCTCGACTTTTCAAAGGGCGATATCTCGGTTAATAGTGAATGTAGAAAGTTGCGGTTTGGACAGATCTTATTAATGTTAGCTAATCTACAAGAATCAAGCATCAAAACACGATTTTGTGCGATTGGCCCATTCTTTTAGATGATTGTATTGTCTGATTATTCCACTCAGACCTTCATAAACACAATTACACAACTATCAAAATAAAGCCATCCATTAAAAAAGCCAATCAGAAACAAGAATTCCAGCTTGTCAATTTGTCTATGAAAGTTGGAGGATAAAGATGAACCAAGATGTTGAGCAGACCGTTAATGCAAGTTTAGTAAAAATGAAGAAAAGTCTCACAGACTTGCCATTCATGAAGCGAGTTTTTAAAAATTTGAGAAGTTAGGTGAAAATTCAGGTGATACAGAAATTGTATGACAACTCCAACATGAATTACAGCTTCAAATAATATCCTGATACCAACTATCGCTTCCTTCGGAAAATTTACGGGATCCAGCAATGGCTCTTACCAGTGTTCCAACTTCACCTCCAAGTTTTAGGAGCCGTTTGGCCCATCAAGTTCAATTTTTAGGGGCCATTGAAGATTTTTTAGGGGCCAAATTGAATTTTTGCCTATATATCACGGCGCATTTAGTGAAAAGTTATACGCAAGATATACAGTTACAGGACTTGCTAGTTGCAACTCGCAGCCATTACTTGGGAAAGGGAAAGGCCAAAGGAATGATATTCCGCTTTAAAACAAGGAGCTTTTAGTTTGACTAAAGTTTGTTCAATTAAATAATACTTTTTCTGACTTCCTATTATGAAAAGTAGTAGAACGATTCTATGGTATGTACGATAAGTAGTACGATTCTCGATCTGCTGAGCCGCTGCCGCGACGAAGTTCCGCGCGCAACTGCTTGCTATGCGCGTTCAGTCCAGGCTGACTGACAAAAATCTTGAAATCATCAAACCGTAATTTATGATTGCGACAATTTTTTAGGGGCAATGTTTGGCGCAGGGTCTTCATTTTTTAGGGGCCATGGCCGATTTTTTAGGAGCCTTTGGCGACATGGCGCTCGTGGGGTTGGAACACTGGCTCTTACAAAAGTTCTTGCACTTGTTAACCCATTCGTCTCATTTGACGAGTATACTCGTCAGGGCGTGCGCAGGACATATCTCAGTTGACGGGTTAATTCTCGGCATCTGTCCGCATTGCTGTGCGATTTTTTTGGCAGTGTTTTTTCGCTTTTTCTATAAGTGGTATCTCAAGCCTTGCATTGCCAACAATTGGCGCGAATTAAGTTGTCAGCTGAGATAGTATCCTACCATAGGCGCCCGCTGACGAGTATACTCATCATAAAAGGCGGATGGGTTAAGAGCTACATTACAGAAACGGGGCTTGGTATAAAAAAAATTGGATAACTACTTCAGATAATTCGTTACCTGGTTCTAAAGGAAGAACTTACTTGCAGATTGACTTAAGTCTTTTCAGTTTAGATGCGTCCAAGGTTTTCTGACCAGAGTGCGTGAGATCTTCGACAAGATTTTCTAGTTCAAACAGCACTTCAGGATCTGCTGCAGTAGAAGCCATCTCGAAGAAATGAACTGGAATGGGACCGCTGAGAGAGAAGGAAAGGAACTAAATGAGTACGTACTCACAATTGCATCATGATTCATCAAAGCACTTGACCAAGGGTGCGTAACTAGTTACCAAAGTCCTTAAATTCTATGACACCCATATCTGACAGGAACATGAATGATAAATGATTAATAACTGTCACCTGAACTGTTTGAAAAAATAAAATACTGCGTTCAAACAATCTGAAAACTCGAAAATTAATTTAGAACTTGCCTCGGACTCCACCACCATAACCTTATCTTGACTAGAGTCCCTTTATACCCAGAGTTACGACAACTCACTTTTGGTTGGGCCAGGATTGGGCTGAAAGTGGCCTAAAAAAAAATCCAATTCTGATTGGTTCTCGCTCATGGAGGCCGAAACTAGTGCACCAAGATGGCGGTACCTCGTATGTGAACAAGAATAATGAAAATATTACCTAATTGTGGTTTATCAAGAGTAAATTGTTATTGCCATCGGTCCAAAATGAAAATAGATTAAGAAATTATTCACAAACCAATCTCATTTTTTTTATAATTGATCAATTTGTTGATGTTGTTGTTTCTGTGTGACAGACATCGCAGGATTCCTGATCCTTATCCCCCAATATCGTTCGTTTGAGTGCACTAGTTTCGGCCTCCATGGCCAGCCAAGGTCGGCTGCCAGTCAGCTGATAATCGAGTTGTCGTTACTCTGGGTATAAAGGGACTCTAATCTTGACGTATCGTGAGTAAACATTGCAGCATGGGAATTTTTTCACTTCAGCCCGTGCATCAATGAGCATTGAGGAAATTTTAAAGTTGTTCAGCCGTGTTCACCTGACCTGTCGAAGTCGAAAACAATTTTTGATTGAGCGTGGTTTACTGTTTTTCTGAGATTTAAAAATCTAATTTATTTAAATAACCTTTTCGCATCGTGTGAAATTTGTTCACGGACCGCGAATCTACGAGTCAAAAATGTCGGATGACCGTAAGGTGAGTATGTGGGAAACCATCATCTTTTTTTTCGATCCTAAGAACTTGGAGGTTAGGTCTCTATTTAATTTATTTTACCGCCTTTGATCGCTCATCTTCCGAAAACTATCTTTTTCTTATTTCTTTCAAGCTGACTAAAGTTGGCTTGCTCTCAGCCATCACAGCTAGAAACGAGAAAACCGTTTCAAAAGTGACGATATTCACACAACTTTGAAGACGTACGAGAAGTTGCCGAAATCGGCGCTATTCATCCACATCCATGTTCCAGGCCTGAATTACCTGTCAAGACCTCTGAGTTTTGAAGTATGATCGTCGAAGAATAGTCTAATTTTTAGGTCTTGCATCTGCGTGGTCTCCTAAGTACCTGGGTTGCAGATGGTATTCAGCATCTAATGATGAAATGTACTGAGACCACCGTAAGTAAGTTTTGGCTGCTCTCTACAACATACTGTCACTAATTAACTCAGCTGCATCTTAAAATTTGGGTTAAATAAGTTGTACTTCTGACTGTCATAAGCAGTCGACCAAGCCATGTCAGCACATGTCGGTGTCTTCACTCGCGATTAACCCCTGATGGCAATTGAACAATTGAACGATGGCATTGCAATTGCTCACAAACCACAAATTATCAGTTGCCAACTTAGTAACTGACATGATTTCTAGTTGTCTTGTTGTCACCTTCCGGCCTAAGTATCACAAGCACCATGTGCTATTTTAAAGTTTCTGCTACTGTTTTACTTATTTACAGAGAGATGGTTCAACAAAGCTGTCAGAAAATTTCACTGCATTCTCTTTGTGCCGCAAATAAAATTCAGTGAAATTTTCAAACAGATTCAACCAACAATTTCTCTATCTAAACATAAAATAAAATAACAGAAATTTTGAAATGTTGCATGGTGCATGTGACACTTTGGCCAGAAGGTGACGATGTGTTCACCAAATTCCAATGCGATCTTAAGATCTGGAGGCCCTCAGTGGCAATTCATGTAAAAGAAACCAAGGGGACGTTCCTGTTGCCCCCCCCCCCTCATCTATTCTGTCCAAAGTGTACTTAAACAGGGACTGCATCTCTCAGCCCACCTTCAAAATAGTTGATAATTTCAAATAAATCCCTCAGTCCCCTGAAATTCAAATTAGCTAACACGCACTGGAATAGAAAATGTCAAAAAATGAGTTATGCCCACAACTGTGCCATGCGGGTCAAAACTTGCCATCAGTTTGTGTTTGGGTTAGTGCTGACTTCCTCTCACCCAACAGTTTGGATTCACTACTTGTATAGTAAGCTACTTCATGTTTCTTTTCATATTAGGATTCATTTCTGAAATGGTACCACTCCCGAACCTTAAACCATAAAACCTTCAAATTTGACTCCCTTTACATTATTCACTAATTCTCAATTTATTTCATTGTGTTCTTTTCAGGACTCCAAAGGAGAAGATCATATCAACTTGAAAGTGCTAGGAAATGACAACACCATTGTCCAGTTCAAAATTAAAAAGCACACAGCTTTGTCCAAGCTCATGAAAGCTTACTGTGAGAGAGTGGTATGTTCTTATTTTACAAATTATTTTTTTATAGCCATTCCTGTTTTGAAAATAGAGCTTTACTTTACTAATGAATGACCAGAGGGAACTCATATGATGAACTTTGCAACAACATAGCAGGCCAATGACTCTCCTTACATCTTGAAAAAACTTTAGTCAGTTGATGTAAAGTTCATTTCAAGCCAAGAGCCACCAAATGGACCTCGCTCAACAGAAAGGAACCAAGCTTCATCAGCTATTGCCAAATTTAACCAGGCAATTTACTTTTTTACGAGAGAACGTTTTTGCGGAATCCCTTGAAAATTGTAATGAGCTTGCTCGGTACTATGGAGAAAATTCACTGAAATATGCATGAAAATCCGCACAACTGCTTTCATGTAAAAAATTTAACCGCCCAATTAAATTTGGCAATAGCTGATGTGGCTTTGTTCCTTTCTGTTTATCACGGTCCAAATTATACTTATCAAAATGTGCACAAGCCGAGATATTCTTATTTGGAGATGCTTGTACTTTTTACGACAGTGGCAAAAGGATTGCCGTAAGTCACCTTACCTCTCTCTCCTGTAGTATTCCTGAGTTGGCAACCCTCTCCCCCCCCCCCCCNTTCGAAGTATCTGCGAGTTTATCTTTAAAGTTTCATTATTTTCCCTCAAGTGAAAAATAGAATCAGGAGAGCAGGGATGAGAATAGGAAATCTTAATCAAACAGGATGACAAACGAGGATTGACACAAACAAGTAGACAGTTCCTTTCCTCTTAAAGCAAAGAGCCTTTCCAGGCTGAAACTTTTAAATTAGCCTACTTAATCTAAATTTGAATGAAGTTTCTGTGAAAGCATTGATTAATGAAGAGCAAGGCAGCAGGATGCGTGCATCCGCATCTTTCCCATATGGACATGACACAACTTTTACCACTTCAGAAAGCCTTTCATCAGCTCTTTTCTTGCAGGCTCTTTCATTGGGAAAGGTCTCCCAAGATTGTGACAGAAGGGACTAGGTTGAATGATAGTCGCCAGAGAGAGAGAGATGTCACATATTCATATTTTACGTTGCTCATGGAGCAAGAGTGAGAGAATACTGATGTCTAAGACAGTCTTCTCATACTTACTCATGCAAATTCTGCAACACCTTAATGCAGTTACTGGTCATAGAAAGTGTCCAACGATAGTCTTCATTATTTGTTCTGGTTCCCATGCCCCCTATGCACAGGTTGTTAATCAGATTTTGGGAAGCAAAAATCCTTTCATATCCAATCTGATTATATTGAAACTTGAAAGTGTTGTACATGGCAAAAAGGATGGGCATGCTAATCATTGTGACTTGTATACACAACTTCTGCCTACGTTTGATGCAAAAACAAAACCTCAAAAATCATCATTGAAGCTCTTAAAGTTAAAGACATCTTGTAGGAATGTCCCAATTAATTAAAATTTTGCAAAACAAATATTGTTTATTTTGCAATGGCATCAGAGAGAAGCTTTAGAGATAACATTTCCTCAGTTTTTGGTTGATCAGTCATTGTATTTAATTACAGGGTTTTGCCATGGCAGCAGTCAGATTCAGGTTTGACGGCACACCAATCAGCAAGGATGACACACCAGCCTCCCTTGAAATGGACGAAGGAGACACCATTGAGGTGTACCAGCAGCAGACTGGAGGCAGTTAAGTCAAAATCATCAAATTCTTTTCCTATAAGTTAAGTTGAATTTCTATTGGATCTGTTTAATGTCTTTTTTCTTTCCTAGCAGTTTTAAAATGTTCTGAAAAGATGCTTTCAAACTTATTCACTCAAGCTGTAATTTTTTTAATGCTCAAATTCACTGTCGTATCCTTCAGAATGGTATGATATTGGAACCCAGAATCTAACAGATAATTGCTGAATTTTGAATACCTGCTGTCATTTAGGTACTACAAGAAAAATATTTCAAATTGCTCAGCACCTATTTTTTCCTCATGCCTACCATATTGACAACTAAATATGAAATATGGGTATCTCAATGGCAATGTTTAGAAATCTGTGTTAATCTTTTATTTTCTTCAAGGAAATCTGACCATAGCCATTGATATATTTGTTTATAATTAACAAGCAAAGCTACATGAGAAAGTAAATTGAATCAAAATATGTATTTGATAAGGAAGAATGGGTGGTCACGAGTGTTATTGTATTTTCTGCAATTGTTGGAGATTCAGAGTCGTGTATAAGTGACATTTTGTACTTATGGAAAGGGGGGTTGTAGAACTACCTGATGAACCTCTTATTAAGTGGATTGGAGGGGGTTGGGGTAAAAAATGAGTAGAAAGTGCCTGATGTCATCAATAGATAGCTCTTTATTGATGGTCTAAGTTCTGTATCTTTTTAGTCCACTTATAATTGGTGTAATAATCTTGCATTTTGCTAAATTTTGATGTCCTAATCCCTTATCTTATGAAAGGATTGAAAATTATACTGTCTCAAAACCGATCTTTTTCATGATCAATATTTTCCCCTTCAAACTGAATGCTGAGGTCATCTTTTTGTTTTTGGGACTTCTTCAATCTTAAGATGAGAGCCTGCAGTTAGATTTCATAACAAGTAAAAGTCACTATAATGCTTCTTAAAACTTGAATCATTTTTCAATGATTAATATTTTCCTCCAAATTTTCCGGACGTTTTTTCTACTTATATTTTTAGCTTTTGATGCTACAGAATTTGTAACAGAAGTTCTTTTTAAAACATTTTTAGCTTTTCTTTAAGTTCTGATCCAATTCAACTTTTACTTTTTGCTTGTACAGATGTATATATCATGATGACAGTGGTTGCCACTAGAACTTGTAAAATTCGATCAAAGCAGCTTCTTTCTGTAAATATTAGTTAAATAAGAAGAAAGAAAAAATTAAACACAAAATTATCTGAAGTGTATAATATATGTTTTACAGCTCTTGCGTTTTTCCAGTCATTGTGACATCAAATTCCTCTTGCTTCGTTCTTAAAGTTGAAATTGTGCGTTGAACTCACTTACCTATTATGTAAATTCACTACATTTTATTCTTCTTTTTTTATCACAATAATTAGTAATATCTATTCTTTATTTATTATTTTAACGTTACATCTTTAAACTTTCTCACGTACACAACAATGCACATACATAGCTAATCATTTGCATCATACGTCTCGATCATTTTCTTTAGATTAACTCTAAAGTAGGACTGTAATACATAAAATAAAAAAAAAATTTAAGAAGGTGTAATCGCAATCTAATCCCTTCTCTTTTATGTCTCCATTTTCTCTAAAGTAACCCCCATTTGCTGTTGTTTAAGGTTTTGAAACGCATACTTACATTGGAAAGTTTCCCAGTCAAAATACAATTTGTAATAATTGAGGGATACGTATCGAGGAATACTTTAAAATGTTTGAGTATTTAATCAGAAAAACCTTTCTACTTCAGCATTAATTGGACCGTGTTCAGCAAGGAAGCCAATTCCATTGCGGTGTTTTCAAAATCATGCAGCTCCTTCTTTATCAGAAGGAATATTGAACGTATGTACTAAAATTTTTTGGTGGAAAAATGAAGGCTGTGTAAACTTCAGGGCATTTTCCAGATAAATAAAAAGTTGCACGATTTTGAAACATTATAATGGTCTCGGTTCTTTTTTTTTAAAAGGCTGTTTAATTTAACCTACCATTTTGCAATGAAAGCTATTTTCGTTTTGGTACCCGCAACAACTAATAGTCCAGGCGCCTGGTAAGTCTACCTGGAATTTTGGGTACACAGCGATTTTTTTGGCCTACTTTATGTTTTTTGGGTCGCTGAATCCGAATCTGAAGTTTCCGCACGCGTATCTGGTGAGCATTTTCCGCTATTTTGAAAAAATGGCCTAAAAAGGCCTTTTTTTGCGGTTTTTTTGATATAGCGGCTACGGATGAGGAAAAGTCCCGGATTTAGCTAATGTTTTGAATAGCTGACATAATTTGGAAGAAAATGGTATATAAATATGCTAGGTTTGCTCAAAAATTGAGGAACCTCGGATTTCGGAACTTTGGAACGCTTCGGAACTTGGCTGACCGCGGCGAGCCGGATCGCGCGTTGACGGGTGCGCCGCGAAAACGTGAATGGGCGCGATGTTCACGATGCTGTATCTTCCTCAATTTTTAAGCAAACCTAACATATGTATACACCATTTTCTTCCAAATTATGTCAGCTATTCAAAACATTAGCTAAATCCGGGACTTTTCCTCATCCGTAGCCGCTATATAAAAAAAACCGCAAAAAAAGGCCTTTTTAGGCCATTTTTTCAAAATAGCGGAAAATGCTCACCAGATACGCGTGCGGAAACTTCAGATTCGGATTCAGCGACCCAAAAAACATAAAGTAAGCCAAAAAAATCGCTGTGTACCCAAAATTCCAGGTAGCCTCATTTTTAGCTACCAGGCGCCTGGACTACTAAACAATTTACCATATTATGGTTTATTGGCTTCTGTGGCAGCCATGTCCAATGATATCTACAGATATTGTAAATACATATAATTAAGTATTCACATATTCTTTTTTTAATTTCTTATTGATATTGTATCTTTGTTGAAAATCCTGTATGTTATGCTGTGAAACATTACAGAAAATTCGTACTACTAACTTTTGATTTTTTATTAATCAAGTTTTTTTTTTCCTTTCATTTTTGCTCACAACAGTGCAGTCATATCATCAGCTAATAATCTTTGAATCTTTGGCAAAAAATAATATTTTCAGCCAATTTCTAATATTTTTATGCTTACAGTAAACAGGCAGTAAAATCAAGTAATATTGCTGTAACATTTTAAAGGAGGTATGTTGAAAAAAATCTGATTCACATGGTCATGATTGATGAAAACAGCCATTAAGTGCAAATTATTTTATTTAATATGAATTTTATCTGGATCTAGGTTTGTTAAACTTCAAATGAAAGCTTCCATCTAACAATTCATCATAATGATTTGAGCGATTGTCAAACTGATCCCATTAAGATGACAGAATCAACAAAGATTTAGGAATGAGAGCCTTGCACTTGATATGCTTAAGAATCTGTAATATTCGTCCCTATCCTGAAGGGAGAGCCCCCTAGTTTTTCTCAAAACATCATTGAGCAGATTCTTTCGTAGATGAATTTAAGCTTTTTTCTTCTGTCTTGTGTCCAATTTTTTCGTTGAACCTTTGTGAAGTGTATAAAAAGTGCTTCCTGCGATCATTGTTATTACGCTGAAAATAACAATGTACTCAGCCCGGTTTTCAAATGGCGTACCGCAGATTCCATACCATATAGCCCTTTCTGAGGGAGGGCCACCAGGTACGCAATGGAAATCAAAGTATGCCTCATCGTAGTCCTCAATACATAAATATTTTCTTTTCTTCAGTACCTGAAAAATGAAATGCTTTGTTAAATTTTCCACCATTTTTATTACCAAACTCTGGAAGCAGAAAAATGTGGTCTTGTATCAAAAATAGGACTTGGATGAAATGAAAAACGTTATTTTCCTTTTCACAACTCCAAACGCTTATGTTTAACTCCATACATGTTAAATTTAGATGTTCAATATAAAGAATGAATGAAGCACTCACCATTCCCAGAACTGTTTGCACAGATGTGTATTCATTGCAAGGGCCTACAGGCTCATGTAATCCAATGGAAACTTCTTTCTCTGGAGATCCAAAAATTCCGCAGCCATAAAAAAGTCCATAGTGAATCAAGAGGTGTGGAATGAGGATTTTTGTGTAATCCTTTTCTTCCGTGCTGGTGAAAGAGGGAAATGAAGAATTATTTTTAGAGTGGAAAGCTCAACAAGCAATTCTGTTACCATTTTATTCCTTCAGTCCAATTATTAGCTCTTAATTTAGCACCATCAGTAGTTTAATTCGTCCTCCTTATCAAGAACTGCAATTTTATTTCAATGTATTTTAGAATGGCTGTTTGAATTTTGAAAAGGTTTTTTTAAAAAAAAAAATCAATGAAAACATTACCAATGGATATTAACCATCTTTGTCAACCCAATACTCTAGGTATACAAAAATGTAGAATGACAGTTTGTATGGAACTTCTACTTATTCAGTCAAACAAACAAAGTTTAAATTATAATTTTTACCGAATAGGTGTTCTCAAACCAGATGCCATCATATTTGTGCAGACAATCATAGCGAAAACTGAGAATAAGGTGAAGAAGGTCACCTCCGAGTGAATTTTTAAGACGTCATGCAAAGGATGGTATATTAGCACAAAGAATAAAATGCCTGTTGGGGTTCCAAGAAGCACTGCACACATAACTGATTTCAGCTCTGTTATTACACCTCGCCTAGAAGAAGAAAAAAAAGAAAATAAAAAATCAAGACTTTTTTGAGAGGCTAGGAGTTGTAACCCATCTTAAGAAAGCGAATTTTTGTTGATCTAAAGGACAAAGAAACATTCATTAGAATAGAGCTCTTGCATGTCGTAGGGATTTTCGATTTAAATACTTTGTTTGAGCAATCATGAGAAAGACGTTGGTGCCACTAGTGCCGCTGCTTTTTTCTGAAACAAACTTTAAAGCTCAATGAAAGCTCTCGAAGTTAAGGCTGTAGAGGAAGGGATATCCTACATTATGGTCCGAGTCCAGCTCTATGGCAATGGGTAAAAAATTGTTGTTGTAGAAGGAGCTAATAAAGCTCCTTTAATTCATGGCCTTTACCATGCATTCATACGCTTAGAAAGAAGAGCTCAAAGGAGAATGATTAGTCAGTACTTAATCCATGATACTGAATTCACAGAGTGGAAAAAATAGACTTCAAACCTGGAGAAGAGAAGTTCACCTATTCTGAAGATTTTTTTTTGCTGACTGACTCTGGTCGCAAGAGTAATTGAACCAAAATGTGAAGCCAGCACTGAAAGTCGCGTGGAAAAAGTAGGAGTTCCATGGTACCCAGTAATGTCTGTCGTAAATATTGGGATCCGTATCATGCCACGTCCAATGGACAAATTTTACGCTCATTATATCGTAAGGTAAATCAATCAATACAACGAATAGTCCCACTGTAACATAATGATCCCTCATTTAACATACCTAGACTCACTGTTTAATCATTCCCTCCCCCTCCTTCCAAATGAAAAAAGAAATATTCAATACAAGCTTTGTAGTTTTTTTTTTTTTTTTTTTTTTTTTTTTTTTTATTGTAAATTTTGTCAATTTTCTACCACTTGAACAATTAACAATAATAATTTGGATGATATCATAGAAAATGTTACGAGAAACGGAGGATTCATTCAGTAAAGTGTTCTCCTCAAATAGCACAAAGGTCCATTTGCCTAGAATTGCATAGGTAATTGGTTTTCCTGCTCTCATTCTTCCTTATTTGTAACACAATATATAGAGCAGAAAACAGGAACTTAAATGGCAGGTTTACTTAAGGAAATATTATGAGGTAGGCATAAGTACTGTGGTAACTGAAAAAAAAAAAAAAAAAGTCAGAACCTACCTGCAAAAGGAAATATTCTTTGTGGAAGATTCATTTTGGTCACTGCGAAAGTTGCTTGACAGTAAAAAGAAGGATCTAGGACAGAAAAATGTATCCAAAAAAGTTAGCTATATATGTCTTTATTTCCTTTGCTCCCCACCTCTTTTAATACAAAAAATATTAAATCATCACTTTATGCGACAAGCTTACCTACTTTTTACTTCCCAAACAGCTTATTTACAATCCTCAGAAGTTCAGCAAATTTCACCTAATCATATCCAAGACCCCAAAATTTTTTCTTTCTCTAGATTTGTCTCTTTCTTTTTGGAGGGAAGGAGGAGTCATAATTTTCCGCGAAGGTTCAGTTTCTCAGACTTCGAAGCACGTGAGCTGCGAAAATGACCCTCCCACAAGCTAGTAGCCACCTTTTCGCGCCATTTTTCCCGCGCACATTCAATGCGCAGCGAGGTAAAAAGCGCGCGTAATTTGATTTGACGCGTGCAGGTACGCTTGAGCGTCTATACTTTTCTCAGTATGTATCTAGGTAATCATAACTTAGATGGGAGTATTTCTTACATTTTTTTTTACGTGGGGTGAAACTCCACTGTAGTTTTAGAAGAATTTAGGCTAATCAATCATGCGTTTTTACTTTTACTCGATTTGAAGGTTTTCAAATTAGTATGCTCTGTACCTACTTGAATCACTCTTGCTGTAGGCATAATGTAGAACATTCTGCTCATAATTTTGATTTATAATTGAACCTCTCTGAGCTTTGGTTCTTATTGAAGGAGGACCACTTCAGTGAATTTGTGTGTCCTAATTTTTCTTTTAAAGCAACAAATATTCTGTTGAGCTTTTACACTACAATCTCTCGTCCTAAATCCATTGGGAATGCAAAAAAAAAGAAGCTGTTAGATCTACGTGGAGAAAGCAATATTTTTTCCTCTCCACAAATTGCAGATTGGTCTGACTAGGTTTTATTGCTAGGTAAGTACATTATTTTTTATAAACCCTTTTTTACAATGTAAGTATGTAGTAGGTTTTGTTATCAAACTCTGCTAAAAACATTGTCATTATTTGCATTTTCTCATATTTGTGTTGTATAATAATTACGAACGTCTTACATAATAAAATAATGTGGAGAGGCAGGCGTCCTCCGAGAAACATAACAGGTGTCGTTGAGTGCCAAAAATTATCAACATCAGGTAAAATATAACAGATTGTCTCAATAAGTATACCATGAAGAACTGTAGCAATCCAGAGATAGGGCCATCGTCCTCCTGTCAGGAAGGCTGAAAATAAAAGAATTAAAGGAGAAAACCATGCTGTTGTAGTAACTGTATTACAGCAATGCAAGTATTTTTTTTTTTGAAACATACTCAAAAAACGTGTGTCGAAAAGATGAATATTGACTAATTTTTAAGTTCCTTTGCAGAGATGAGCAAAAACGTACCAATAGCTGAAGTTAAAACATGCCTTTACGTCAGACTGCAACCTTACAAATCTCCAACCAAATGCTGTATTTTCCTCTTATTTTTTAAGAAAAATATACCTAACCAACAGTAATACTTTTCAGTTCAGCTAAGGCCACCATAGTGCATCACACTTATTGTCCCTAAAGTTTCTTTCAAATCTAATAATGCTGTATCATCGTTTCTAATCTCGCCAAACAGTGCAGCCGCCGGTCGGTGCGATATGCATATTAGCGCCTACAAGAGTGCGTGAATACTTCACGCATTGCGCCAAACCCAGTGCTCCGCCGCTGCGGTCGCTGGTCGGCGCGGCAAGTATAATAGCGCCTACAAGGGTGCATGGATACTTCACGCATTGCGCCAAACACACAGTATGCGGTCGCTGTACCGGTTGACGCATGAGTCTTTGAAAACTTTGATAGGTATAATTATGTTGTTCTGGTGGCCGATTGCAAAATGTTTCTCCAAAGAAACCTTCTATACATTGATTTTCCCATTAAGTAGATTGTCCTTCTTCAGAGCTAATTCGACTGGATTATAGTTTGTTAGTTTCATTTCCAAAAAGTAAGCGCAAGTAGTCAGAGGTTCTAAAACATCGCAAAGGAGATATTCGTTTTCAATTTCAGACACGATATGTGCTTGTCGGCCATTAAATGACTGATTATTGCAATGCTAAATAATTTAACTCTTGTGAGATACTAAAGGATCATGTATTAGCTAAAAATATTAAACAAATACCAGACTTTTACCATGAATCAAAGTTGTAACTCCTCCGATGATGAAAGAGGTTTGTGCCAAGATGTATGTTGGCTGTAAATTCCATAGCGTTTTTATTGGATGTAATTTCATAAACCAGTTCATCACCTATAAATAAAAGAAATTTCATACTCAAAATTTGCTATGCTTCACAATAATAACTTTTGATTTACTTAGGTGAAATTCATATGAGAATGAAATAAGTAATTAAAAATCTAAGGGAGACATGGGTATTGATAACTTTTTTCAAAAATAAACATTTTATTGGAAGAATTTTGGCAATGCCCGACTGTTCATACGGCGCTCTTCTTTACCACGACAGTGTTTGCAACTATTCGAGCCGGGGAGATATAAACGAAAAATTAATAGTAATAAGTCGCTTTGCCATTTCAACGAAACGAATCTATGATGAAGTGTTCAAAGGAATCCGGTCCAAGTGCTTGGAATAAATTCTAAGGAAGGCATTGACAAAAATCAAGTGAATGTTTCTTTTCAAGTTTTTCTTTACTTAGGTACCTACTTAGGTTTAAATAGGAGAAAAGACCCTGTTGCCAATTTACTGGATCCGCCAATGACTTCGACGGAAGCGAAGCCAGCGGGAGATGAGGTGAATGACCGCGCGCAAAGCAACAGAAAGAAAACCGGAACACAAGCAGCGCCTAAGTAAAAGTAAACGATATCCTCTTATTTTTCTAAAAAGAATTGAAGAATTTTAAAGGCTCGAATATCTGGTTGAATATGGAAAATCCTCAGATGCATTACCACACTCAAAAAAAAAAAAAAAAAAAAAAAAAAAAAAATCGTGAGAACCGGCTTGATCGATTAAATGTATATTTCGCCTTCGAAAGGAGTTATACTTACCCCATTGTGTGCAATTTTTTGGAGCTTTAAACCCGAATGAAATAAGTCAGCGGTACTCTCAGCCATGAAAATTTGATTGATTTCACAAAGTCGCAATTTAAATCGAGAGAAAAACGTAAAATAATAAAAAAAAAAAAAAAAAAAAAAAAAAAATAAGTACGGAGATTGTTACAGCGATCTCAGATTTTTTATGTAAGGAAAAAAATTCACAAGAAAAGGGAGACAGAGTTATTCCAACATTTCCTTTTTGCATTTGCTATACTTCACCAATGAGTGCTGTTGAGTTACTTGAGTAGGCATGATGCGAAGAGGAAATTTTCTCTTATATATTTGTACTTTTATCTTATCAAGTTGCCTAATTTTTTAACTCAAGCATTTTTCTTATCTATAACGTAGAGATACCTAAGTATTTCCATATTCATTGGCTGAAGTTTAATTTCTACAGGTGCGCTCTTTCATAATGAATATTAAAGATATAGTCCATTAAAATGTACCTACAAATTAGCCCACTTTCAACAAAATATCACCCGGTCCCGGTATCCATCTGTAAAATTGTTGTCGCCTTTTTTCCAGGTTGATTTGCTTTCTTTTTTTTGGGGGGGGGGGAGGCGAGATGAGATTTTTATATTTTATCAAGACATTTTGCCCCCCCCCCTCCCCAAGGCTTAGAAGCACTTAATCTTTTTTCAATTAAGTTAATTTAATAACAATGTGACAACTCTGTTTGACCTACACAGAGCGTGTACCGCGCCCGTTGAAATCCCGCCATCTTGCTTCTCCAGGCCCAGCCACCAACGGTCGAAAAATGGCGATGGTACTCTATCTCTCTATGTAGCACTATTCTGTCGGTTGTATGATAAGTGATAACCTCATCACGTAAGTCGATTATAAAGTTTATTTATCTTCTTTTGCATAGTTTACTCAAACTAGATAAGCTTCTTCCTGCAGTGAATCTTTCCGATTTTCGCTGATTCACCGGACGCAGCGACTCCCAGTAGCTCGAAATTTGTGCCTCCGTGATGCCTACTATGAACCACCAAACTTGCAACCCTCATAAATGAAATGAATTTGAAAGCATTGAATACCCATGCCCATGCTGGGTTTCTCTGAGCGGTATTTTTGTTGATCCGCTTGACCTGTCAACTGCTTTGCGATGTTCAGAAAGCTTTCCTGATGTATGTACATTGCTCCTAATTACATCCCATTCTTCCCATTAAGTTAGGTTAGTGACATTACTAATTTGGAGTCAACATGTTTATGCGCTTGCATGAATCGGGTATAACTAACCAGCATTTATGGATGAAGAACTGTGACCATATATATACTATTTATTTCATATTTACTGAGATCTCTCTAAAGAGTTCAGATCCTGTTCCCATGTACTCCCGTCATCTCTGATGAGATTGCCAACGTCTCTAAGGCTGTGGCAGATATGGTCCTGCGGGTATCCGTACGAGGATGAAGTGCAATATTAAAGTTCAAAATCATTGTAATAGCCTGCAAGTTTGTAATTTGGAAACATCTCTGAATTATCATAGTTAGGAACACAGGTTCCTTCGTTATATAGTGACACGTCGCTCTCTGGCTGAAACCGAAGTAGCATCACTGCCATTAAGATAGATACTCTAGTTATTTTTTAATGATTCTCCATTTATCCTCAATTGAAGTATTCTGTAACGCTATGAAATACACCTACAGAAAGCAAGAAAATAGGTCGTATTTATATCCATGTGGAAAATCTTTGATACTCCGAAGAACGCATCTGTTGCACAGCCGAATAAATATCCTCTACATGGGTGAAATCGCACGTAGGTACATTGGGCACATTGAAAAAGTCTGACATCCATTCCTTAGGGCGTAATCTGTGTAGCGTGTAACACGCTCTTTCAAGTCTCCTGTGTCTGCAGGCAGTTTTTCTCAGTCACCGCTGACTAGGGTTGCACAAGCAGAGAAGTAAACAAATGATTCCACTAACTTATTCTATTGCATGATTTCCATTGTTTTCAAGCATTTTTCTCCTTTATTTATTTTTTTTTTCTCAATTTTGCAAAAACCAAAGCTTTGAATCAGTTGAAATCTTATGCAAGGAGAGTTTAGATATAATCCTGAGATTGTTTGTTTATTAAGTAGGGATGGTCAAATATTTCAATAATCAAATATTCAAATTATTGTCACCGAGATAATCGCATCACAATTGAATGTTGGTGAGAGTATTCGAATATGCGACTATTATTCGATTAATATTGGCAAAGGTAAAACCGTGATTTTCTACTACTTCCTCTCCTATAGTTCGAAATTACGAGGTTAAAAAATTCCTCTCTAGACCTGCAAACCATTCAGTACGGACCTACATCTCCTTGAGTCCAAGTTACCATCAGTATGGTTCATAAAAAGTCCATCGCGTTGAAATACTTGTCCTAAAGTGCGAAAAATAGAGCCCTGACGCAAGCTTTGTTCCACCACTGTGTTATATTTGTAGAGCACCGTTACAAAAGAATAAAAAATCGGAGGAATGATCGGAAAGATTTTAATATTCGCTTCAAAGTATTCGAAATCGCAAGATTTGATTTCTCAAATAATTGCAATCGAAAAGTTTTGAATATTCAAATAATCGCATTCGAATTCGATATTCTTCCTTCACTATTATTGATGCTAGGCCTCTCTCTCGAGACAAACCTGACAGCCGACCATCAAGAGAAACTGCACGCTGACGCGGTAAATTTGATAAAGCGTGTTATAAACCACACGGATTGTTTGCTAAGGAGTAGATTTCAAGCATTTCTGATGTGCCCAACGAGATTTTTGAGCAAATTCATCTCTACCATGGGTATTCGGCTGGCTGTATCTCTCGCGTGCAACTGACTTGTTGAGGTGAAAAAGCCTTTATACGCCTACCCAACACAGAACAATACTTTTCCCAACAATACATTCCCTGTGTTGTTGAAGAAAAGCTCTTTTTACTTTTAATACCATCGCTTCCTTGAATCGCCCGCTTTTTATGTGTTAACACATCTAAAGAATATGAGAGTTTACAGTCATGGGCTATCTACTATCGTTATTTAAAATGTACTCTCGCTTTTCCAACAAAGTGTTGTTTTAAGAAGTATGAACTTTCATATTTTCAACTGAACACTCTCCACTAGTCATCCAATGCTCTCTTTTTCCTCCTCTTGTGTCCTAAAAGCCAGCATTTTTTAAGGTAATGTGGATGTAAAACACTAGTTTTTTAATAACAAAATTGTAGTAAAGCTTAACATTACCTTTTCAAAAAGCTACAAGTAAAAATCCTTTTTCTAATACAAGTCCTATCTTAATACTTCGATAAGTATCCATGTTAAGAAGAAACTAGGTAAATGTTACTGTAGTTTTCTATCTTGTTTCAAGTTACTAATTAGCCTAAATTAATTTTTTTTCAGGTTCAGTTCCCTTTGGCAGTGGTTATGAGTAGATCGATAACAGGAAAGCAGTATGTAGTGCATCAAGTTGCTGACTTCAACCTAGGATCATAGGATATTGAACAACACAAGATGGCGAAATCGTCAAAATCAGTGCTGTACCAAAATCTTGCCGGAGAATCATTAGTAATAGACACCAAATCATCTTCCTATAGAGATGTTATTCTTCAGAAAGTAAAACTGAAATACACTGAAGCAGTTCCATCATTTTCAAAGAGAATTGAGCAGAGATTTGCCGTTGACAAATTAGTCTCTGGACAGTGTCGAATATGTGGATTGAAAGAAAAGTCATGCTGCAAAATTTTTGAAACCGATGAAACCCTGAGCAAGCTTGTGAATACTTACATGCCAATCACGGTGAGTATTTCATTCTTTCGTTCGTCTACCTATGGTCCCCAGGAGAAAGGATTTCCTCTTTTTCAGTGACCAGGGCTAATCTCTCAACTTGTTGATGCATGAGTTTGAAAATCGAGCCACTTATTGAAAGTTTATTGCTGCTCGATAAGACATTGTAATGCAATGTATTGCCTGATTAAGATAGTGCTTCATCTTATTTTATTGTATATGTTTTTATTAACATAGTTTCAATATTCAGCCTGCAGGTCTTCACTTTATCCTAAGTTCCAACCATTCACTAGGCTTGCAAAGAAAACTTCTCAATCTGCTGTATCAACACAAGTGATTGTTTTACCCAGAGAATCACTTACTAGATTTTTTTGTCCTTTGTTTGCATACTTAGATGTATTTCTATCAAACGGAACTAAGCGCCATACCTAGGAGGAGGAAGGGAGAAGGGGGCTTGGATTGGCAGGTGTTATAGAACGCGATGCTCGCTACATCCTATACTCGCAATATTTTTCCATGGCGCTTAGTTCCGTTTGACAGAACGTGCTATGCGGAATTCAAAAATCCTCAAAAAGAACTCAATTTGGCGCTTAGTTCTGTTCACTTGTGGGTCTTGCTCATGAGCATACAGAAAATTTTAATAACTGGATCTTTGAGCAGGCCTTATACAGGCTGGTCTGCTCTGCCAGTGAAGTAAAGTGGCAGGAAAGCCCAATAACGAAGATGATGCACTCTCCTCTAATCAGGAGATAATGTTGCTATGCTGGCCTTCAGTATTTGAGGTCCCAGGATTAGATTACGCTCAAGTCTACTCATTGAACCTGGACAAGTTTGTTTGCACATCATATTATTTTATTTTTTGTTTTTTTGCAACACAGTTTTCCTATAGCTTAATGGTAGGTATTACATTTAAATGATCTTAAATTAATTTTTTTCATTTTCTAAATTTCATTTTACTCTTGATGATTTTTCATTTCCGTGAGACTATTAGTTATCACACTGGACGCAGATACCTAGATATATGTTGTAGTCAAATGCCAAATCCTGGTCCTTTCGCAATGTGACGTTTTGACTTGTCAAATCCCATAGTCCAATGTACTTTACCAACTCTAGTTTGGCTAGGTTACGTTGGATCAGAGTTTTTTTGCTGCTTTTTGGGATTTGACTACAACATATTTATTTGAGTGTGTTAAGAATTAATTGTGGAATCTCACTGATGTTTCCCTCTTCTTGAATACATCAATTCTAATCCATGCATCTGGGTCTTTTTCTTTTCTTCCTCTTTTTTTTATGGAACAAAAATCTCATAGCTTTTACTGCATTCAATGGTATTTAATAAATATTCAATATAATTTCTTTTCTCAGGTACATAAATATGACGTGTTACCGCTAAATGTTTGTCTCGAGTGTTTGGGAACCCTGCAAACCATTGATGATCTTGCATACAGATGTTATCTCACAGAAGCGTGCTTATTGCAACACTACAAAGATTATAAAGACACTTCAATATTCCTGGACCCAATTCAGGAGGTAAGGTTCCAGATCCATCTCCTTCAGTCCCAGTTTTTTTAAAAAAATATTTTTGTTTTTCCTATGAATTTAACAAGAAGTTAATCTTTGAAATAAAACTTCACATTTTTCTAAACTAAGGCACTGTTCAGTGCCTTAGTTTAGAAAGACAATTTTAAAATGTAGTGTCTGAGAATCTCCGCTAATTTAACATTTATTGTAAGAAAAGTGAATGTTGTTAAGTTCCAATTTCAAATTTGCTTTATTTGTATAAAATTCTTAAGGAAATATTAATAAAAGATATTCTGACAATTTTCGAGTAGAATATATCAACTAGAAGCTAGTGACTCGCACCAATATTTGATTACAGGAGCTCTCTTTCTACGCAAGCTAGCTACATTCATAGAACAATATTGAATTCTCAAAGGAAAGAAAAACCTCACTCGACTGTGCTTTCAATATTATTGGTGTTTGAAGTGAATATTCGAGTTGTTTACTTATTTTAATGAAGTCGTTAGTCATTGATTTGAATTGTATGGTGGCTTTGTTACATTGGATTCAAGATGGTGGAAACCATAGGTTGTCACCTTACATGGTGCCATAAGCTTCAGACCAATGAGGAACATTATTTCAATACCTTCAACCATAAGCCTCCTCTTTCAGTCATAATAGCTATTTTGAGCTTTATAAAGCACGGAAATGCATTTCTCTCAAAGCTTTATTGGAGAAACACCTGTTTTTCAGGTAATTTCTGGATCTTGCAACAGCATTGCCTTTTTTTCTTTTAGCAGCAACCTTGATTAATAAGTGTTTTTCCTTTGTCCACGCCTTCTCCTCAGGAAGAAGAAAAACCGTACACACCATTGCATTTGCGGTTGCCAAGAAGTAGGGAAACTCCTCACCTAGCCGCAACTGTTGGGTTTCCTGCAAGGAGGAAAGGTAGCTCCATACATGGTCGGTTTTATACTGAAAGTGATAAGATACAAGAGACCTTGAACCAGAGTAAAGCTGAAGCCCAAATCTCGCTAAACCAACAGAATGATGAGGGAGATGAATCTCCCACTGAAGGTAAAGACAGTTGCTCCTAGTTAAAGCAAAGAATCTTGCACCCAGCCTTTGGCCATGCAGCTCTTAATGACTTTGATATGAAATCTTCATCAGTAGATTCTGTAAATCACACCAAATGAACTCATTAAAAATTTGTCTGCTTTTCGCGTAACTACTTTTGAGTTGTAATCTCATATCAGCCTCTGTAGGGTAAACGCTCAAGAGTCAGAGAGTTTTTTGTTGGTGCAAAAGTGAGCACATCAGGCTGATTATTTTCGCGTCGATATCTGAATCGATAACGTGTCAAAATTCATTTAACGATCGACAATTCATAGTCGACGTGATTATTTTGCCGCATTTATCGATATCGTTAACAGGATAAACGGTTGCGACGTTGCCGTCGTGCAAACAAATAATCAGCCTATCACAAACCGTCTACCGGTCACGTCATTGGCCGCCAGCGCTGCGGCTCGGAGCCGCTGCGGCGAATTTCAGAAGGAACTCTATTTTGAGGTTATGTTTACATCGATATGAAACGATAGCCCGGGGAACAACCTTTAATTAATGACGCATTTATCGACCGATGTGGCGAAAATAATCACTCGATTCTTGATCATGTAGATAACACGACTTTTAACGATACGATTCGGATATCGACCCGAAAATAATCGGCCTGCATCTAGTGGAGGAAATTTTGTATTAGTATTTATTTTTATAACAGAATTTTTTTTTTTAAACAGGAACAGGGCAACAAAGTAAAGTAACAAACAAGTAAAACAAAAGTAATAAATCAGTGATATTTCGTGTGCCAAAGAGAATAAATAATCTTTCAATGTTTTACTGAATTACGTAGATGACGTAATTTTTTGCTTTCTAAAAGTTTCAATTATCTCATATAATCCCCAAACTTTCATGATAATTATGTCTTTTTTCTCTCATTATTACTTGTTATAATATCAAAGTATTTTTAAAATGAAAAAAAAAATTTTGTTCAATAAATTAAACTTCTTTTTCTCCTGTTTTTAGACTATGTCTTTGAGGAATCAAACCCTGTGGAAACAATGGAAATCGATGATGATGATAATGAGGAAAAAGAAGTTGTCAAAAATTGTCTCAAAGCCAATCTCCACAAAATTCTCCTTGGTGGAAATTCGACTAAGAGATCAACCACCTTAGTTTCAAAACATGCCCCAATATCAACCAATCAGTCTCAAAGTCAGAATCTCTCGCATGACCATGCATACAGTCATCTAAAACCAAAGAAGGTCTCTGTAAGTATTCAACCACTATTTTGCTCATAACTGAATTTTTAAACACCTTACTTAATTTCAAACCTCTCTTGAGAGAGAGTGATTGTTGAAAAGTCTCAATCTTAAGGTTAGGACAAGACTATGTAGATCGCATTTAGCAAAAAGGAACCAGCGCGATTACAGTGTTGTAAAAATGTTGCTTTTTCATAATTAGTTATCTAAAAAAAATCCCTCAGAATAGCAAATAGTTTTTATTCCTACCAAAAATTGTTAATTTTACAGGAAAATAATTGTGTAAAATTTAATACTGCACTTAATATTGAGTACATATTTTTAAAAGGAAGAAGTTACACGATTTTGACAACACTGTAATCCCGCTAGTTCCTTTTTGCTAAATGCGATCCAAGTTAGGAAGAATAGTTTTGTAATTGGTTGATTGGTTCACTTAATTTCTTTGTTATACCTTTATTGGATTAGAGTACCTTTATAGACAGAGTATGGCCATTTCTGTTCCGGTTTTTCATTGGTCGCAAGAAAATAGGCTGACACGATGTTCTTATGGCCGTAAATAAACAAACAAGATGGCCATTATCAGCAAGCAAGATTGAGGTTATGCACATCTTACATCCTCCTGTGATAAAGGTGAAAGGCGATTTAACAATGTTTTCATGTGTTTTTTGTGTGTTATTCGTAGATATGCTAGTTTAAATTGTTACAGCCGTATAAATGAAATTTTTGTCAAATTTAGCTTCTTATCGATGTTATGGTGAGCCGCCATCTTGTTTGTTTATTTACGGCCGTAAGAGCATCATGAAGCCTAAAAACTCGTTGACTAATCAAAAAGCGGAACAGTTTTCTTGTAGTAAAAAGATACGAATGGCCATACTCTGTCTATAAAGGTACTCTATATTGGATCAGATGATCAACCAGTCATTGACTTCCAAGGAAGCTGCCTCTTACCTATTGATTAGCTGATTCAATGAAAAATGGCCAAGAAATCAAGTGGTGGAACTGAAAAATCATACTGGGCGACTTATAAGCTCTGCATAATCACCACTACGCATCACCCCTGTAACTTATGAACTACATATGTAACTGAGATAGAGACTTGACATTTTGTGAGTGCTCCGAGGTCTAAGGAAACGACTTTAGGGAATCCCAAAAATTGTAAAGGGACCAGCATTAAAAAAAGCAAGAACTACAGAGGTTTTAGGGGTGGTGCAGGACTTTTGAATCACTCTGTATAACTCAATTTCAGCTTTAGATAATACTGTTCCATTTACTCAGCGAAATTTTTAACTCATGCCCTAGTTATTCATTGATCAAACTCATTTTGAAAATACTCTCTATTGATTGTTAGGATCTGTACAACAGGGTGCTTGCAATGGAAAAAAACAAAGACTAACTGTGGAACTGATAATACTTTGTTTAAATGTGACGTTTTTTGGCCTTGACTGCAGACACATCCATTGACTTGTACCGCACCACTGATATTTTTTCTTTGTTTTTCCCTGTTTCAATAGACTTCGCCTGGAGCTAACGTATCCAACGTTCCTGCTTTCTTCTCAAATTCAAAAATCCAAACTCTGGAAGAGTAAGTTTAATTTTCGCTTTTTTGGTTTGCATTTACTCTCCAACTAGTTTCATACACCAAGTTCTCTGTTTGGAACTGATAGGTTGAAAGCAATATCAGGTCAATATGTATAAGCTAATATTAGGCAATATAATCAGGTTCTAAAGATCACAAAATGTCAGGAAAGTTACATCCATTCATGTATGTACAATGCATTTATCTTTGGGGAAATTGATCTTTGTGGATGAAAATTACATTCAAATAACCTTTTACCCAACTATTTGTATGACTAGAAACTGCTTTGGATCAAAACAATCGCCTACTTTAAAACGAGAGTAAATTCACTTTTATGGCTCCATGGCACTGCAGAGTAAACGTGGTTCAAATCAGGACTGTTCCGCTACTCTCACATGATATGCTTCAATAAGAGCCAAACTGGTTGCGTTCTCCTGGTAGGCTTGATTTCTTTGCCCCCACCGAACTCTCCTCAACTGAAATTCTTGGAAGGAAAGTAAAATAATGCAACGCTTTACCCAAAAATCTCAAACGGCTGCAAGAGGTGAAAAAATATTGGGCCATCCACCTTAAATTCAGAGGTCCGATCTTTTTGCTCCGCCTAGATCTTTTTGACCAATCGAGCTCAGTTCTCTTCAAGCTTAGATTTTTATCATTAGTTGAGCCTGGGAAAAATTTACGATTTTCAGAATTGTTTCTTTGCGATAAAAGGTAGCTGTTTTTCCATATTTTAGATTGTCATCAATGCAGATCCCAATTCAGGTTTTAATGCTCTCGAGCCCTAGCCGGTGCACTATCAGCTCCATTTCACATCAATGGCACAGAATTCGAACTTGTTATTCTATGCATTGTCGCAAATTGACAGACATTTTCATGTGGATAGTGTAACTGCGCAGAAGTCCAAAAATTAGCATCTGCGCAGAAAAAAAGAAGATCACTCTTACTTTTCTTTAAAGCCATCTCTAGCATCTTGCTGCAAAGATACCTAATAAAAGGGGATATAAGTCAGCCTAGTCCCCATTCATCCTCCGTATACTTCAGTGACATCAGCAATAAACTGTGACATTGTTTTAACAATGAACTGATTCATGCCAGCCACATTCCATCTCGAGCCCTTGTAGTTTTAAGGTCTGGGCCCCGACAAGGGTTACTTGTGAATTCAAAGTAGTATATCCTAGGCCCCGGTATCATGGACCTTGTATCCCCCTCCTTGTGGCGGACCTGAACTGATTTCACCTTCACAAAACCATGTTTCCAGCAAACTTTAAGAAAAAATGGTTAATCTATATATACATGTCGCTTCATAGCACTCTGTGGCCCTCTATGGCATCTAAACGCCATTTTCCTCCATCTACCCATAACCCCTTCAGGAACTAAGTACCATAACAGTTCAGCATCAGTACCGTACCTCCATCCTGTCATTGTTCCTAATATGGCACGGTCACGCAAATAAAAAATCTATGCTACATTCAAGGACTCTGTTTTTAAAAGAATACTTCCGTAATGATTGAATTGAACTCATGTTGCAGAGCTGATGCAGTGAAGAATATAGCTACTGAGGCTCTGGCTGAATTGGACAAAAACTCACGAGATAACAGGACATTGTTGAATCTTTCGGAAATTTTAAATACCACAAGTCAAGAGCTAGATGAACCTGTGTATATCATTCTAGTCAACGACGAGGATGCAGAGAAGTCAAAGCAACAAACTAACACCCACAAGCCGAAGTTTATCAATCTAGCTGTTGACACCATCGAACCACCGGAGACAAACCAACAGATTAACAATACAACTGATCCCTCAGGTAAGTGTGTCTGAAAACAGGTCATCTGCAACCAGATAAATGACGCAATAAGATTAAAACACACTTACTTACTACTGGCGCTACAGCCCGGGGTGGGCTTTGGCCTCCAAGACAACGCGCCTCCATCCTGTTCTGTCCATGGTCTTTTCCTTCCATCCTGATACGTTCATTACTCTAAGATCTTTCTCTACTTCATCTTGCCATCTCAGCCCTGGCCTTCCTCTCTTTCTTTTCGATAGAACTTTGGCTTTCATGATTCTCTTTGGCATTCTTTCCTCCTTCATTCTGCTAACGTGCCCTAGCCATTGAATTCTTTGCGATTTGATGAATCAAACTATATCTTCTTGTTCCAGTATCTTGTCGATTTCGCCGTTGTTTCGAATTCTCCATTCTCCATTTTCTTTGATGGCTCCAAAGATCCTTCTTATGATTTTTCTCTCAAATCTTCGCAGCATGCTCTTGTCATTCTCTGTCATAGTCCATGTTTCTCCGCCATATGTAACAATTGGTCTAATAAGGGTCTTATATATTTGTAACTTGGTCTTCCGAGATATCAGTCTGCTTTTGATTAGCTTCAAGTTGGCATAATATGCTGCATTACCTGTTTGTATTCTATCTTTAATTGACGTAGTTGTTCTGGCTTCATTATCGATTAGGTTTCCCAGATACTTGAACTTTTTGACTCCTTCAAATTCTTTGCCATCAATTATTAAGTTTTGCGGTTTTCTTCTTGACTCTGAGGATGATAATATCATGTACTTGGTTTTAATTACATTTACCACTAGTCCTAAATCTCTTGCTCTTTTTTCCAATTCTTTACAGATCTCTATTAATTTTTCTTTAGTTCTCGCAATTAGGGCAATGTCATCTGCATAGGCACATGTTTGACTAGATTTCGTGAATATTGTCCCTCTTTGGTCGACATGTTTGACCGCCATGTGCAGCGCTATTATAAATAGCGTACTTGACAATCCATCCCCTTGCTTCACGCCCTTGTTAAAGTCGAAAACATTGCTCACTTTATTTCCTATTTTAACCTTGGCTTTGGTGCTACTCATGGTCATTGTTATAAGTTTGATGAGCTTTCTTGGTACATTCATTTCATCCAGGGCCTTTATGAGTGCCTTTCTATTGACCCTGTCGAATGCTTCCTTGAAGTCTACGAAGAGCATGTGTAAATCGATTCTGTACTCATGACATTTTTCCATGGTTTGTCTGATCACAAATAATTGATCGGCTGTGCCTCTTCCTGTTCGGAAGCCGCGTTGGTATTCACCTATCTTCTTTTCGACTACCTTCTTCAGTCTTTCATTTAAAATTGATGACATTATTTTATATGCCGTGCTTAAGAGTGTAATGCCTCTATAATTCTTCTTGCATTCTAATTTGTCTCCTTTTTTGAATATTGGACAAATTGTTCCGATATTCCATTTTGATGGCATTTTTTCTGATTTCCATATTGCTTTTATTAATTCATGCATTTCTTTGATTAACATTTGTCCTCCATTTTTAAGGAGCTCTGCTGTAATTCCATCTTCGCCTGGAGCTTTGTTATTTTTCATTCTTCTGATTCTTTCCGCAACTTCTTCTATAGTTGGTGTTTGTGATAAATCATCCTCATTTGTGTGGTCTTCTTTTTCCATTGTTTCTTTGTCGTTTAGTATCATCCTTTCCTTTTCATTTAGCAGCTCTTCGAAATGTTCTGCCCATCTCTCCATTATGTCCTTTTCTTCTCCTAGTAACTGACCATCTTTACTTCTGCACCCGCTTGTTTTCGGTTGAAATCCTTTTCTCATTCTATTAACGGCAGCATAGAATTTTCTACTTTCATTTTGCTTGCTTAATTGTTCTATTTCTTCCATTTGTTGTATCATTGCTTCTTTTTTCTTTTTTCTAAGAAGCTTATTAGCTTCTTTTCTTGCTTTGTGATATCTTTCTTCATTTCCTCTTGTGTTTCTTTGCAGCATCTTTTTTCTTGCGTCGTTTTTTTGATCTATGATGTTCATGCATTCTTCATAGAACCATTCTTCATTTCTGGTTTTTCGTTTTTCTCCAATTGTTTCTTTTGCTGCTTCTAAAATTGCTTTCTCAGTTACTGTCCAAATCTCTTCAGGCGTTTGATCCCTTCCTTCCATTCCATCTGTTTCTTGCGTTAGCTTGCTGTTCAAGACATCCACGTACTTCTTTTGTAATTCTTTATTCTTGCTTAAGTTTTCTGTGGCCCAGCGCTTCACTTCATGTTTGGGCCCTTTCATTACATTTGCGATTCTTTCTCTAACTTTAACTTTTACAAGGAAATGGTCTGAGTCGCAGTTAGGCCCTCTGCAGCTCTTTACATCAATTACTGATGACATATGTCTTGAGGATACAAGTACGTGATCGATTTGATTCACTTCTTCACTTCCTGGGATCTTCCAGGTTCCAAGATGGATTCTTTTGTGATCGAATGCTGTGCTTTTGACATAAAGTTTATTTCTTGCTGCGAATTGTACCATCATGTTACCATTATCATTGTTTTTCTCATGTAGCGTGTGAATACCAGCTACTTGTTTTTGGTCTTCGTTTTTTCCAACTTTTGCATTGAAGTCTCCCAAGACTATCAGCATGTCATGCTGGCTTACTTTTGTACACACTTTTTCGAGTGCCTCGTAGAAACTTTCCTTTTCCGTTTCTTCTTTCTCCTCTGTTGGTGCATGCACTGACACAATGGTGATATTCCTAAATTTTCCTTTTATTCTTATTCGGCAGATTCTGTGGTTGATATTTTCATATTCTAGGAGAGTATTTCTTGCTGCTTTGGATAGTAGGAATCCTGTGCCAAATTGCCCTGTATTTTCACTTGTTCCACTGTATATCATGCTGAATTCTTTCTTGTCTATTCTTCCTTCTCCTTGCCATCTGATCTCTTGGACGGCTAAGGCGTCAATGGCATATTTCTGCAGTTCTTTGGCCACTTCCATCATTTTCCCTGCCTTCTTCATCGTTCTTATATTCCATGTGGCTAGTATAATGTCCTTGGTTTTTTGGGGTTTTTTCCGTGATCCATACTCTTTAGGTCGCTTTATCCGTGGGTTTTCTGGGTACCGAGGCTTTGTCTTGGTTTTCGTAGCTTTGTTTTTTTTTACGTGGTAGGGTTGCTAGCCCTACGCACAACCCTCCTCCTTTTCCTGGGCTTGGGACCAGCAAGAGAAAAACAACTCTCCTCTAGGCGGAGTTGATTAAAACACAAACAAGTTGCAAAAATCAAATAATGACCAAAATATAAAGAGAGAGGCCCAGAGAGAATTCAAGTACTTACATCCTCTCTGCTGCGATTTATTGTCTGTGTAGCTGTTATCAATATGTGGCTGCACGGGCCATGAATTGCCGCTGAGGAAACTCACAGTTGTAAGTGTACCCTCAGCAGGATTGACTTCTTGAATGTCACGTTGGCTTTTTCGGCAATACACGTTCAAATAAGGGGTCAGAATATACAACTTTGGACTCTTTTTTTCATGGCTTTTTATCGTTTACAACAATGCAAGAAAATTCCTTTGAACCAAGTCCACTCTCTACTTTTCTAAATGCAAGCATTAAAAAATTACTAAACAAGCTCATTATTAATACTTACTGTGGTAATACTTTATATTACAAACTGCCAATCTTAGGGACACTGAAGTATATTTGCACCTATGATAGCTGATTCGACAGATCTAGTTTTTTTCCTCTTATACCAGCCTTCATTTTTTAGAATGGACCCCCAGACTAGGTATTAATATTACCAGTCTTGACTTCTCTTTAAAATTTGACGCAGAACCCGCTCTATGCAATAAAAATCACCAAAATTAACTCCGACTCAAGCCAGTTTATTTTAATTAAGCATTTATTACGGAATCTTTACATTGTACGCTCACATGAAGAATTAGAGTGTGATTTAGTGTGAATTAGTGAATGTAAATCAAATCGAGCATTACGATGGTTTGGCAACAGTTTCTGAATAAGTAGTGTTCCTTCCCGATGTGCTCTCCAAAGTGGAGCCAAAGCACTTATATTGAGTCTGGCATATTTTCCTCCTGCAAAAACTCTTGATAACATTTAGTGTGCAATTTAACTTGAGTAGATTTTTTTTTTGTTTTTTTTTTTTTGAGAAGTTTGAATTTATGCATTGAGAATTATCAATATTTTTGTTGGATTTAATTTCATTTATTCATTGAAAAAATCATGTTATACGTAAGGTTTTAACTTGTAAACATGCACTAGGATGCCTAGATTTGCATCTTGTTTAGTGATCAACTCTTGACCTGCGCGCACCCTCTGCACCAAAAAAGTTTTTTTCCTTCTCTTTTCCTTTATTTTAACCAGGCACCCTCTTTCAATCTACAAATTTTTCTGGAGTCTTGTACAAACTGTGCTCTCCTTTTCAGGAACTGAGACCCAAACTACTGAAAAATTATCTGAAAGTATGGATGTAGAAAACCACCCCGCAGACGATGATTGTCAAGTCATCAAGGAATCAGAAACTCCCAGCATAACTGGAAATGATCAAGTTGATGAAATAGTCTCCACTAATGAAGGAACTGGAGTCAATCCTGATGAAGAGCTAGCCAAGTTTTCAGAATCCCTTCAGACAGAACAGGTACGCAAGTTTTAAGTCTCCCTGCATGAAAGTCATAGAATTTTCTTCAATATTAAAATTTAAGTTGTCGCTTAATTTGGCTAATTTTCTTCAATATTAAAATTTAAGTTGTCGCTTAATTTGGCTCTTCAGAAAATTCCTGTTTCCGAATGAACGTTCGTACCTATTTCAATTTTTGTAGGTTTCTGATTTAATTATTTTCCTCATGAAACCAAGAAAAGGTATACACATACTGCCGAGATCGTAATGAGAGTAGCTAGTGCAAAAATGAAGTTTTCAGAAAACAGACTCAGATATGTCTTACCAGAAAATTTTACTGAAAGAAGCCTACGTTTTTGGTCAAATTTGCCTTTCATCATCCGAAAGACTCTTAGAAATCGTTTGGATGAGTTAAAATCAACCGATTTTATTTCAAACACACAAATTTTTCCATTTTGAAAATTTGACACTTACTGCTCTCTTTGCTATTACAGCAGCATAGGTATGTTGTTTAAGGCATAGTCTCAACACACTAGGTCTATATCAATTCATTAAATCGGACTTAGGTGTTTCGGCAAAAAAAGCTCTATATTCAATAAGGATGAGTATTTGCACAGAGATCAAAGTTCTGTGTAATTTGGCGAGTAAAATTCACAACTGGGTTATGTCATGATTTAGATAATTTACTCTCATTTTTTTCTTTTTGTAATTCTTTAAATTTTTTGTTATTTTTGTACCTAATAGTGAAAAAAAAGCCAAGTACAACGTATTCTCAACATGCATCATAGCACTAAGCAATGCAGAAAAAAGTTAATCTTGAAACTCCTGACATCTGTTTAATTGTATTGCATCTGTTCCAGATTAAGAGGTGGTTCACAATACAAATTTTGAAAACACCAAATGAAGGTGAAGAAACCAAAGATGAAGATGAAGGTGTCATGCTGGTCACGTACGTTGTTTACTACTCAAAAATAAACAACAAACTGGTTCCTCATCATTTCTCTCTGATGAATGATTCTTTCACAGAGGTCACTCGTCGCCGAGCTTACTCGATCATCAGCACCATGTTAAAAGAGGAGAAGAATCGAGTTCTTCAATACTTAGAGAATAATCCACAGAAAAAACCACAAAAAAGTCCAAAACCAGCAGCCCCTAAACTTCCACCCAAGAAGCCGTTCAGGACAACTTGCTGCTTCTGCAATAAAACTATGAAAGAGCAAGAATTGACCGCTCATTCAGTTGCTAATCACATGGTACGCTGCAAGTATTGTCGAGTGATTTTCACTTCCAAAGATGAACTGATACTACATGAATGTGAGGTTCACGAAAAGAAATCAACGGATTGTGAGACGTGCAATAAAAAATTCTACGATGAAGAAGATAAATTCTTCTGCTCTCATAATTTTAATTGCTCCATTTGCAAGAAGCAGTTTACCGACTGGAATGAGTACCTGCATCATGAGAAAATTCACGCCAATTCACTTGCCCTCAAATTCATTCGAGACTTCAGAGTGGACTTCAATCGTACAAATCAGTGGACGAAAAGTGAAGAGACTGAGAAAGTCTATAACTTTGGGTGCTCCACTTGTGGAAAAAAGTTTGAAAGCATGGTTGAGATGGAGCGGTGTGATCACTTGTATGATTGCCGAGTGTGCAAAAATCAATTCAGTAACTATCCTCTGTTTGTCACTCATGGTTGTATCCACAATCCGGAACTGCTCAGAATTGTCTGCAAGAAAAAATCACAGAAGAAGGTAATTCAGTTTGTCAAATTATCTTTAAAACATTCAAATAAATAATAAATGTTGTGTTTTATAGAAATTGTAATTTTTGGCATTGCATAGGAAAAATTAAACATTCTCATTTTAGCAGAATCAGAGAGCATACAAAATAGCTCAACTGTTTCAATGAAATAGAAATAACCTGCCTGGAATGTTATAATCATCTCAACTTTTTCTGGGAAATTATCCCAAATGGCCGATCATAATTTTGACCAGAAGTTTTCATGGAATAGTTTTTTGGATTTTTAAATAAATTCTTAGAGATTTAATTAAATTTGTTCATAATGAAACCGAAGGATTTCAAAATTTTCTTCAAAAGAAGTGATTATACACCAAGCTATCATGTCATAACTGGAAAATTTAGGAAATTAGTTTTCAAAGCATTGGCAAGTTTGTACATTCCCATTGTAGGCATATTATGTATGTTATAAAGAAGAAAGAACTCACTTGGCCATGTTTTAGGCTTTGAGCTATCCCTGATTGCTCCAGATCATGTTCTTACTTAACACACCAGTGACATGAAAAAATTCAAATAATAAAAAAGTTTTGAATATAATGAACATTTTAAATGCTTGGCTGGTGTTTCATGCTTTGAGGCAGAAAAATAGCGACTTACAAGATGTAAGATTCTAGAAATTCTCGCTAAAGTATCAGATTTTTACAAACATTAAAAAGTTGCGTGTGTTAAAGCTATCATTTTTGCTCGCCCAGAAATTTTATGAGTAAGCGCAATGGAGTTCGACTGTTTTTAACTCTCCTCTTTTTTCTCTCTTTTTTTTCAGCTCATTGTCCAGTGCGGACTTTGTGAGGAGCAATTTCATGAACAAAAGGATTACTTGGCTCATTACTATAACTGCATGCTAAAGCATGGTGTCCAAGTGGATCTATCAGAGGAAATAAAGGCATTGCAGACCAATTCACCTGTCAATTGTATCTTCTGTGGTGAATATTTCAAGTCCATCTTTATCTTTGAACTCCACTATAATCAATGCTTCAAGATCAATTCTACAGAATGTGATGAATGTGACGCAATAATTCCATCTAGACTTCGTGGTTCTCATTTACTGTACTGTGACACAAAGACCTTGTGTGATAACTGCGGAACAACGTTCCCCTCAAAGTAAGGATTTTTATTAGCTTATTTTAAGTTTTACTTCCTTTTTTCTCGGTAACAGGGCTGAGAGAGTAGGTAGTACAACATATGTGGAGCACAGTATTTTTTTGAGCATGAGCTGCATCCAAATCTCAGTGTGAGATAAATGAAAAAAAAAAATCTCAAATGTATGTTGCACCTTAAAATTATAATAGATTGTTGGAAACAGGCCGAGATGACAGGGATTGAATGGGGAAAAAATCCTCAAGAATTTGTATGTATAAAGCCGCTTTTATAGCGCTCTCTGGCATTCTGGGTCACCTAGCCGCCAAAGTCCCCTATCCTCCCAAAGCCCTTCAGGGAGTAGACTCAGGAATTTAAAATATTTATTATCTAGAATTATAGAATCAATAGATTTTTTGCTGTTTGTGAAAAACTATAAAAAGTATTAGGTAGATATGGTTAACAATTGACTATAAGAAAATGTCAAAAACCTACTTTAAAGAGGCAAAACATGACTGCAAACCCTGTGTTCCAAAATATTGTCACCCCGAAAATTTTAGGCCATATTGGTCCAAAAGACTGCTCAGGATTTACGTTATGCTCTAGGAGGAAGGGTCTAAGTCTGTGTTTGGGTGCCTCACAAGGAGAAGAAGGAATATTCAGGGTTGCATTACACGAGTCAAAACGCATTTTTTGAAAATCTAAGATTGAAAATGGGCGCAAGGTAGCGTTTTTTATCCAAAATTCATCACAAAATGCGAATTTACGGGAAGGAGGGGTTAAAGTAAACGTCAAATAATTTTCATTAGGGGGGTTCCAACTTATGTAATGGATGCGTCCTGAGGAAGAGGGTGGAGTTAAAACATCCGATTTTCAGCATTATGTGTTTTATGAACGGTCTTTGAGAACCATATCATGACAACTTGTTCGCTTTCTAAAGTGTGGTTTCTTTCAGAACTCTATGTTAGTACAAATTACATGTCAAGGAGCAGATCTGTCATAAAGGAGCATTTTATCAAGAATGCTTCCTTCGATAAGTATGAGTGCGTTACGTACTCACATTGATTTCATGAAAAATTTGGTGCCTATTTAATACTTATTTCAGAAATATTTTTTGCTTTTGCAGAAAATTGTATCGCCAACACCTGAGGCAGCAGCTAGATGGCTCAACTGTTTGCATCACATCAAGTGACTTCAAAGATTTTTCATTCAATGGCTACATATCAGAAGGGTTTGATCCAAACAACTGTCATATCTGTGGTAAAATCTTTGTGAATGGCAACACCCTCGATCGCCATGTGAAGAGCGTCCATCTAGGCCTGGAAAAATCTTGTCCGCTGTGTGGAGTGAAGTTCCAGAAACACAATTCAATAACCATGTTCTTACGACATCGCAAAACCCATCCAGAAGATGAATTGGTGGGTTCACGTTATTTCTTTTTCTTAGTTTCTGAGTTTGGATGGAAAAAGATTGCTCTCAAGACAGCATATGTTTCAATGCACAGAATCAATTTGGGAAGGAAAAATATTGCTCTCAAAATAAAATGCACAAAATCAATTTCGATTGAAATAACGTTTGTCATGCCTCAATCAAGTTGTACATGTGTTGGTTATCCCCATAAAAAAATTTCTACACATTAAGTATTTCACACTACCATTTGACTTTTTTTCAAGAGAACCATAACACAACTTTGTCTGAAATTTCCGCAATTTTCCTAAAGGAAAAAGCAAGGGAAAAAAAGCTAGTCGCCGTTAAGAACCAAAATAAAACTTGTGCTATGGATCGACTAAAAACTTAGTTCTATGCATAACTACATAAACTATGAACAATGATTGTGAATATAATTCAGTCAAGCTTCTGTTGCATTTTTTTTTGCGTTCACGTTATTTTTATGATCTGCCCACAGAATCAAATGTGAAATGATTCATATTGTCATAAATCCCCCGAATTATTTATGGCAAGAATTTTTTTCAAACTCAAAATTCAAAACTCTTTATTTACATCAACATGAAATGTAATGGTTTTTGCTTTTAATTATTAATTTTGTTGACTTCCTGTAATTTTTTCTCTCTAATTTTGTTTGGTTTTTAATTTTTTTGCAGAAAGATATATCGTGTGGAGAGTCCTATGGAAGTACCCAATGTCCGACGTGCGAAAAATGGTTTTCATCCAGGCTTCTGAAACTTACACACGAAATATACTACCATGATAAGATTCTTCACAAATGCGAAGGTTGTGAAACAGAGTTCCTTAATTTAATCAATTTGAGAAGTCATGAGACAAAGTGCAAACCAATGAGGAAGGACAGATCTGTATATACTTGTGAGCACTGTGAAGCAACTTTCCCGAAAGTACACTTGTACTACCAGCACCTCGAAACTCATGATATTACTTATACCTGTGAAGAATGTGGGAAAACCTTCAAGAAGAAAACCAATTTGAGCAAGCACAAGGAAACAGCACACACCAAAACTCCAACAATTTGTGATGTGTGTGGAAGAGAATTTTCATGCGAGAAATATTGCAAGATTCACAAACGAAACTTGCATGGGGACCAGAGCTTCCTTTGTCAGATTTGTGGTAAAACATTCCATAACAGTAAGAGATTGAAATTACATGCATCAGTACACTCCGGATTGAAACCTTACAAATGTCGCTTCTGTGAAAAGAGTTTCCGAACACACACAATCAGGAACGTCCATGAAGATAAACACAAGAACGATTTTAGATATGAGTGTAATTTCTGCCAGCATAAATTCTCACGATTCATAAACCTTTACGTTCATAAAAGGAAGGTTCATGCAGACAAATGCACGTACCAATGTTCAAAGTGTGGATGTGGTTACAATGACGTTGAGTTCTTCACTAATCACCAAGCGAAATGTGGAGGAAAGAGGAAAAGGCCGAAGCCAGGCGTTGAAAGAGCCACATGGTGTCCCTACTGTGACAAGACGTTCGGTTCTGCCAAACTTTTAAAAGCTCATTATTCCCAAGGTAGTGGTGATGGAAACTTTGTCTGTAGTAATGGCGCCTGTGGTAAGAGATATGATACAGATTGCTCACTGAAAATGCATGAAAGAGTTCATGCTGTTGACAAATTCCAATGCAAGCACTGCAAAGAAGCCTTCCTCGGACTGAAGCAACTAGAGCTTCATTCTCAACTGCAACACAATGATAAATTTGCTTTCCATTGTACCCGCTGTGGGCGTGGTTACATGTTCGAGAAATTTTTAGAAAAACACGTCAAGTACTGCAATGATTCACTCCAGCAGCTCGCTTATACTGTAACCAAGTCTAAAAAGCCTATTGTCCGCTGTGAAAACTGTGGTTTGATATTTGCAAAATTCAAAGACCTCCGTGTACATATGACACTCGCCCATGGTAGTGAAACTTACAAAGATTATCAATGTCTTATTTGTGACAGTCAGTATGATTCTTACATCCAACTTTCGAAGCACTCGAAACATCATTTCAAAGATGCAACAAACCCTGGCTCATATTGTTGTCCCAAGTGTAAGATCCAAAGCTCCGACTGGGAGGTGATGATGAATCATGTGTGCGGGAGCGTACTTCCAAAACGTGGTGAATCCAGCAGGTTTGGCAATCTTGAAGGCCCTCCTCATATTGAAAGTGAAAGCAAACTTCCCAGGAAGAGTCCTCGAAAACCAGTGCCCAAGTATGACTCTGATGATGATTATGTGACTCCGCAAAGTCGCTCTGTCAACTCTCGTCATCATGCAGCTTCATCCTCACATTACAGTGCTGGTCCCAGTTATTCGAGGACAGGTGGAAAAAGTAAACCATCAGGCAGGTTCAGCTCAAAATCTGTGGTCATACAAGAAGATGAGTACGCAAGTGAAGAGTATGAGGAGGAGATGCCATCGCATCCAATCGTAAATGAAGATGCCAACCTTATCTATCATTGCTCATTCTGTAGTTCTAATTTTGATCACATTCAAACGCTACAGAAGCACTTGACAGATGACCACAATCTTAGTTTAAATAGCCTTGAGTTTCAGTTAGTTGAGTGAAGTGAAAGAATGTGCCGTATACTTTCTTTCAAACATTCTTTACTCAGAATCTGCTCTCCTAATGAAGCTCCTTGATTTACAAAGACAGCAAATTGTCGTCCTAGCCTATTATTGATGACCAGCTAGCTATCTTCGTTAAAACGTTTTGGTCTGTCCCAATCTGTCCTTGCAGGTTGAATAAAAAGGATTATTTGAACTCCAATTCTTGTCGGGAGCAAATTTTTTTTGCTTTCATAATTTAGCTCCTGAAAAAACATCAGCATAATGTAACAAAAAAAGTACGTACAAACATCAGACACTTTGGGTCTTCAAGCAGCAGTGCAACAGAATAATGTGGTTCCTATTCAGTGTCGCTGTCTCTTGTGCGGCATATTTTGCAATATGTCTGGGTGAGATAAGAAAAAAAGTAGGGGGAAATTTTTCATAACCAACAAATCAATAGCCTTACATGACAAATTATTAATGTAACAGCCCTTATTTTATGACGAAATTAATGAATTTCAACATACATTAAAATCTTGACACCCGTTCATTATTTTATTTATCTGAAATTCTCTATACTGTTAGCTGCAGTGATGTTTGTCAACTTTCATTATTTTAAATCTTGCATATTAGATTGACAATAGTAATTTTGACTGAATGTGTCATAATTTTACTATTTTTCTCTGATTTAATTCTGTTTGAGTCATCAGATGTGAATTGAATTGAAGTAACTTTATTTGCCATGTCCTCAAAATCCTGTTCCTCCCCGAAACCTGTAGTTTCATGTATGCAAAAAAAAGGGGCAAGTGTCCTACAGTTTTCCAAAGAGTAGAAACATCTTAACCATTTAGGTAAGATATTCTACCCTTCAATGTTTAATATTGTAAGTAATACAAGTCTATTTACCTACTATAAGTCATAAGTCATCTCTTTTTTTATTTGCTTTGAAGTACTAGGAAAGTTAATTTTATTTAATTTTTCATGGAAGCAAGTTTTACCTTATGATGTTCATACCTATTTATTCTCAGTGTAAATGTATTTATTTTCCCATTTAATTCTTGATTCTTTTTATTGTACATACTGTATTACTACATATGGTGTTGTGTTCCACATTTATGCTTATTGTTAAAAGTGTGAGTGCCCTAAGTATATAATTTTAAAAGCTGATAATGAAATGTAAGATATAAGTACATATGTATTTTCTCTCCTGACTCTGTAAATATTGTTTTCTTTTCAAATAAATCTCTTTTCATTATTAATAACATTGTTGAATGATGTATGGTTAGCCCAGTCTCTGAAACTAAAATACTGAAGTTCTCACTATCAGTTACTTTCATACTTGATTGTATCGTGAATTTCATCATATAGTTTCTATAAGTAAACCTTTTTTTTTTCTTGTCGAAATTGTTTTGCAATGACATTTTACCCAAAAATACCATGCTGCCAAGAATTGTTTTTATCTCCGTATTTCAGAAGAAGAACAAGCATTATGCACACTATCGTTTGTTCCTGGCTACTTACATGATTTATTTAGCATCATTACTAGAACAGTGTCTCAATGAAAAATATAACATAATAGGATACGTATGCAGGGGCGAATTTAAGGGGAAGCTTTAGAGGGGGGGGGAGGAGAGGCAGCTAGTTATTATTCTATGCCAGGGGGTCGGCCCCCGGCTTTGACTCCTTAGGGGCCAGGTGGGCGGCCCCCGGCTTTGGACCTCCGGAGTGTTTTCTTCTTAAGAATATCGAATGACATTGCTGTAAATCGTACCCCGTTGTCTGAAGTCAATGATTCGCCTTCAAATGGCCGGGTATGCAAAATGACTGCCGTGACGCCCGAATAGTGGTATCAGAATTTTGCATTATGTTTACGGATTGATTTGAGGGCGCTCTTTTGTATTCATTGTGAGTGGCCTTGTACAATGATGTTGACCAAAAAGTTCATAATTTTTTGTTTTAAATCGAGCTGCGTATTCGAAAAATGCCGAGGAATATTATTTCGAAAAAATAATAAGATTGTTTTTGGTCTCTACGACTTATTTTAAGGAAGAGAGCGCAGGCGGCTGGATCAGATTGTGTTTTTTAAGTCCCTTGGTTTGGTCATCGTATTTTGTAGCGAAACCGAAAAATTCGCCGTTTACAAGATCGCAACGTACTCAAAAAAGGTTGTGAATTTTAAAAGTTTCGCACGGCGAAAATGAACTTTCTTTGATTAACTGTGAATAATTAAAATTGAAGAAAAGGTACTTTGTCCACTGGTCCATTAGGAAAGCGTAAAACATGGATGGATGGAGCATTGATGACCAACTAAATCTTATCTGAGAAGGAATTTTAAGTTTGAAACCCTTTTTTCATTCTTAAATGATCCAAATTCGCCAACAAGTTTAAAAAACAATTACAAAAATGCGTATCTCCTGATGAAGTGTCGATTCGTAGTGCCAAAAACGCGAATCTCGGCATTTCTGCCGTATTTTCCAACAGTTCGAGAAATTATTGAAACTGCTGATGGAGTTTGAAGCAACATCTTATTCTTGCTATCCTCAAGAATTATTACCCTTCTACCGCCAATAAAGAGGAATACAGACAGTTGTTGTACTCTCCTGGAAAATCGTTTCTTCCGAAATTCGCACGTCTGCACTTTCACCATCGATAATGTGCTTTAGTACTGTTTAATTAACATTTGCACAGGCAGTGATTGTGATTGTTCCGTCAGTAATTTTTTTTCTCATTAATTTCTTCACAAACATTCTAAAGTATACAGGTATGTTGCCAGGCCCGCCACATCCCATCTCGGGCCCTGCCCAAGTAGCATTTTTCAACGGAAAAATCGCGATTTTATCGCCGATAAAGTCGCGATTATCCTCGATTTTATCGGCGATAAAATCGCTAGGATCATCAACATTTGAGCGATTATCCTCGATCTTTTCGCGATTTTATTGCGATTTTATCGGCCCGAAAAAATTGCGATTTTATCGCGATAAGATCGAGGATGATCGCTCAGATGTTGATGATCCTAGCGATTGATAAAATCGCCAAAAAAAAGGGGTTAAAGTTGTCAGCCGATTGCCGTTAGGTTCAGCCGTCAGGTCCTTTGACGAAGACGAGCGTAAAATCCCCGGAGCCTCCGCGGGGATTCGAACCCCAATCGCTACGGTGGAAGGCCAGCACATTGTCACTATGCTATGACCGCTATATGACTTGCGTGTGCGAATTGAAGCCTCTTATACATGGATCGGCGCTTCGCAACCTCACAACTTATGTCTTTGCGTTGACTGACACCGATTTTTCATTGGATTTTTTTTTTTTTTAATTTTCCCTCCTCTGTATTTTATTTCATACCTTGAAATACGGTTGGTAAAATAAGGTTCTATTGGTAATCTCATCATTCTGTCTCTGTAAAATTACCAATAATAGTGAGATGGCAAAGTTACCGATGGACCTTGGGAAAAACGCCAATAGTTTTTATCGACTGTGGTAGAATTACCGAGATAAAATGGTAAAGTTACCGGGGATTGATTACCAATAAAAGTGGTATTCTTACCTGAAAAAATCAGTAAAAATACCGGTTTTCAGGTAAGCTTACCAGTCTGTCTTTGTAACATTATACTAATAATTGATAAAAAAAAATGAGATGGTTAAGTTACCAACGGATCTCGGTAAAAACGGCGGCGGCGGAATAGAAACATCTTTCATATGCGTCATTCATGCGTTAATGAAAAATTGCAATTTATTGCAATTTTATCTCTATAAAATCGCGTTCGATAATATCGCGATTTTGTTGCAATTTATCGCGATTTTTCTCCCGATAATATTGCAATAAATCGCGACGTCGATAAAATCGCGATACATTCTCCAATTAAATCGCAATTTATCGCGATCACTGCTACTTGGGTGGTACCAGTTTTAAGGTCCGGGCCCCAAGCACGGAGGGGGGGGGGGTCCGAGGGGCAGCCCTCGTGAAATTTTAGAATTTATACGACGAATCGGACGCATTTTGAAGCTTCCATAAAGAATTTTTCCATCAATTTCTGCGGAATAACTATGTTTTTTTTTCTACTTTCAGCACAAAATACTTGCGAATTGTTGCATTCAAAACATCTGGAACATTTTTATTTTTTTTGGAGGGGGGGGGGGCATATGATACTATTTTCAGTTCTAAGAGGGCCAGGCCCCCCTGGACTCACCCCTGCGTTTGTCTATGGCAAGGGAGTTAAGCCATGAGCCATTGAAGTCGAGGATGCCAAGACTGGAGACTCTTAGCAACTGACGACGGAAGAAAATGAAACGCAGTTACTAAAAATATCCCTCTGTACTGAAAATCATGAAAATAGATAGAAACTTTCCAGGAAGTATACTTCTTTAAAAACTTAAGCAGTATTCTACAGTGCCCCAGCGTGTTTCTGAAAATCTGTTCACCTTTTGCGAAATTTTTAGGGTAAATTGTTCACTTTTTCTTACGGAACAAGGGTTGCATGTGAATTCGTAGTGGTTTTTCACGAGTAACACGGGCCCCCTCCAGGGCCCGGGCCCCGAAATCAGGGACCCATTATCCCACCCTTGTGGCGGGCCTGCCTTCATGCACGCTGGCCTTTTCGATTTCCTTTGACATTTTTTGCAGTGGTGAATGCATAGCTGAAGCACGCTACAGCAAGAATTGTATATAGCAAATGGGTAATTTTTATAGTATGATTATAAATAAACAAGTGGTTAGATATGGAAACAAAATAACATGAAGTATGCAAAACGATTATTCCGGTAGCGGAACTTGGCTGTTTTGAAAACGCCTTCAAATGCGGCGTGATACCTCACACATTCCGGAGAGTTCAAATACATATAGTTGTATTATTGCGCCTTACAAATGCGACGGAGGATTGCAATTGAAATACCCTTCATGCACGCTGGCCTTTTCGATTTCCTTTGACATTTTTGCAGTGGTGAATGCGCTTCAGTGCGCTTCAGCTAGAATTGTAATTAGCAAATGGGTGGTTTTTATAGGAGGATTATAATGAAACAAGTGGTCAGAAATGAAAACAAAATACTTACTATAAACTATGCAAAACTGCAAGACGATTATTCAGATATCGGAACTTGGCTGTTTTGAAAACGCTTTCAAATGCGGCGTGGTATCTCACGCATTCCGGAGAGTTCAAACAGTTGTATCATTGCGCCTTAGAAATGGGACGGAAGATTGCAATTGAAATAGCCTTCACGCACTCATGCACGCTTGGCCTTTTCGATTTCCGTTAACATTTTTGGAGTCATGAATGCGCTTCAGTGCGCTTCAGCTAGAATTGTAATTACCAAATGGGTGGTTTTTATAGGAGGATTATAACGAAGCAAGCGGTTAGAAATGAAAACAAAATAATATGAACTATGCAATACGATTATTCCGATAACGGAACTTGGCTGTTTTAAAAACGCCTTCAAATGCGACGTGATACCTCACGCATTCCGGAGAGTTCAAATAGTTGTATCATTGCGCCTTAGAAATGGGACGGAAGATTGCAATTGAAATAGCCTTCATGCACCCTGGGCTTGTCGATTTCCTTTGACATTTTTGCAGTGGTGAATGCATAGCTGACGCTCCAGCTAGTAATGTATTTAACAAATGGGTGGTTTTTTTACGAGGATTATAAATAAAAAAGTGGTACGGAATAAAACAAAAGAATATGAACTATGCAAAACAATAATTTGGGTATTGGAAACTTGGCTGTTTTGAAAACGCCTTCAAATGCGGCGTGATATTCATTTTGTGGTCTCGAAGTCTCCTTGATGATAATTTCTCACATTTTCTTTTTATGGAGTAATGTAGGGCCACAAAATTAAACGACTTTATCAGGTAGAGGCGTGTCTCTGCAATTTAAGTTTTAGTTGTCCAACAAACTATGTGAGCATGCATGTACAAATAATAAATTTAAATTATAAATACTTTAAATTACTTAACTTACTATAAATTTTAATTAAAAATAATTTAATAATTTAAAAATACAAATTGTCTTCCCATCATAGCGTTGAGAGTATCGCAGTAATCAGTGCACATTGGCCAAGGTAGGGGACACAGCGGATGAAATTGTTGGTGTTCTTTGGATAACCTTGTTGCATACATCGTGAATTGAAGGCGTTTTGACTTCTTACCTCAGCTCCATTAGCACAATAGTTACAACTAAATTGTAGGCATAGGCGGTTCTAGACATTCATGCTTGGGGGTGCCCAGAGGTGGAAAATGTCGGAGACCGGCCCCGAAGGGGACGGTCGCTCAGGG